GAAAAGTAGTGTGGGGGATGGACTGAATGTCCCCTTTACAATAGGAGCGTTAAAAAGGGCACTAGACAAAGACAGACGGCGCCAGGGAAAGATGAAGTATGTTATTGTATGATAAAGCATCTAAGTGAAGAAAATCTGGACAAATTATTGATGTTGTATAACAGAGTGTGGGTAGATGGAATAATACCAGGGAGTTGGAAGGAGGCTATAATAATTCCAATAAGGAAACCTGGAAAAGATGCCAGCAGACCTGGAAGCTATAGACCAATTGCCTTGACGTCTCATATCTGTAAATTAATGGAACGTATGGTGAATGAGAGGTTAACATACTTCTTGGAGGAAAGAGAAATGGTGGCATCATACCAAAGCGGTTTCAGGAAGGGAAGGAGTACCATAGATCCAGTGCTGGGACTAGAAGATGAAATAAGGAAAGCCCAAGTAAATAAAGAGACAATGGTTGCAGTATTTTTCGAAGTGGAAAAGGCATATGATATGTTATGGAAGGAAGGATTGCTAATTAAACTAAACCTAATGGGTGTTGGAGGGAGAATGTTCAATTGGATTATGGACTTTTTAAATGAAAGAACTATTCAGGTGAAGATAGGAGCAGAACTATCTAGCCAATATACTGTAGAGAACGGGACACCTCAGGGGAGTGTAATAAGTCCAACTTTATTTTCCATTATGATAAATGATGTATTTGTAAACATTCCAATGGATATGGGGAGATCATTGTTTGCAGATGATGGAGCATTGTGGAAAAGAGGGAGAAATGTGGAATATGTAGCTAAGAAAATGCAAGATGGAATTAATCAAGTCGAAAAGTGGGGAACAAAATGGGGATTTAAGTTTTCAGTGGAAAAAACAAAAGTTATGTTCTTCACAAGAAAGAAAGTCAGGGAATGGTATTTGAAATTGTATGGAAATAATTTAGAGAGAGTCGAAAGTTTTCATTTTTTGGGAGTATATTTTGATGTGAGATTAACATGGAGGAAGCATATTAGATATGTAGTTGATAAGTGTAAAAAAGTTATAAATGTCATGAGGTGTCTTGCAGGATTGGGGTGGGGAGTGGATGTAGCATCGCTGAAATACATATATATAGCCTTAATAAGATCAAGGTTAGACTATGGAAGTATTGTATATAGTTCGGCAGCCAAATCTGTGTTAGCAGACCTGGATGTTATACAAGCTCGGGCTTTAAGAGTGCGCATAGGAGCGGTTAGAACCTCCCCAGTATGTGCTCTCCAAGTAGAAGCAGTTGAAATGCCATTGTGGTTGAGGAGGAAGCAGCTGGGGGCTAATTATTGGGTCAATTTAAGATGGCATGGAGATTGCCATCCAGCAAAAAGGGTGCTGCAGACATGCTGGGAGAAGCAGACAACACAAAAAACAAGTTTTGGGTGGACAGGAGAGCAAATGGCAAGGGATAGAGGGGTATATGATAAAGAGTTTGGCGCAAATGTGGTGTGGCCTATTAGACCTGTCTGGGAATTAGAAGTACCATGTGTAGATTTGGAACTACTTGTGATTAAACGCAATAATAAGACTGCTGATTTAACTAGTGTATATTATAGCTATAGGGAATGTAAGTATAAGGAAAGTATTCAGATTTTCACAGATGGGTCAAAGGACATGCAAACAGATACAACAGGGTCTGCAGTTGTTGTTCCTAAGTATCAGTTAGAACTTAGCAAAAGAACATCTGATTGTCTGAGTGTGTTTGCACTTGAACTGTTTGCCATATTGATAGCGTTGGAATGGACAGAACAAATTAGTGATAAGGAAATATTAATATGTAGTGACTCTGTGTCAGCTCTTATAAGCATGAAGACATGCACAACTAGAAGTCACCTGGACTTGCTTTATGAAGTCTTATTTATGAATTCAAGAATAGCTAGGCAGGGGAAAAATTTCATATTTCTGTGGGTCCCTGCACACTCGGGAATTCAGGGAAATGAGAAAGCAGATAAGGTGGCAAAAGAAGCAGTTAAAAAAGGAGATGTTGAAGTCAACATTAAATTATCAAAATCAGAGGGGAAAGGAATAGTGTGGAGAAGTTTAAATCAACAATGGCAACAGAGCTGGGATAATGCAACAAAAGGGAGACATTTACACGGAATCCAAAGCAAAGTAGGTATATCAAGAGGTAGGGGAGCAAAGAGGAAAGAGCAAGTGATAATAAGTAGGCTGAGAATTGGGCATAGTAATCTTAACAGCACACTTTTAATTACAGGAAAACATCCTACAGGAATGTGTGAACAATGTCAGGAGGCTGAAACAGCAGAACATATTCTTATAACATGCAGGAAATTTACTCAGGAAAGACAAGAAATGATAACACAGTTAAAAAAATAGGACGGGTAGATAATACAGTAAAAAGTTTATTGGAGTATGGAGAAAGTGTGGAGGGTAGGAAATGGATATTTGGTTTCCTGAGGGCGACTGGATTAGATAGGCGGATTTAGTATGAATGGAAGCAAAGGGTAAATAAAAACTGAAGGTGGCAGTAATGCAACTCAATGGACGCCAGCTGCCGTAAAAAACCCAAAGAAGAAGAAGGAATTCCTCTGCACACATGTGATCCGTTAGACACCGTTATTTACAAAGTCATCTGCAGTTTGCCTTTTATACAGCATTAATTACACAGCATACAATAAACTGAAAGTTGCCTCGTATACAGCGTTTTTTCCACATTCATGAGGTCTGTTACATGCATCATTATTCACATAGTTGCAATTGCATTTTACACCACATTTATTTATACAATAAAACACAGAAATTATCTTGTTTTTTATTCAGTGCTTTTCACCTGGAAGCTGCCCGGTAATGTCTGTAACCACGGTGTCTCAGGAATTAAAAATAAAAATATAGAAACACCCTAGACACAATCTTTTTCTAGCACATTACTTGCTTCTCATACAGGAATTGCAATCACACAATATGCAGGCCAAGTTTTCAGATGCGTCTGCTCTCTTTTCACCACTTATTATTTTTCTAAATTATTTAAAAATTACTTCCAATATTTTCTGGTTTGTGTAGGAGGACTTCACAGAACTGAACAGAACAGAACCTTTTAATGGGGTCGGTCACAGCTCTCCACAGACCAGTCACAACACTAATGCAGGATTTAACATAGGCTCTGCTTACCTTTTCTGTACTGTGGCCAGTGTGATTGCTGTCTGCAAGGGTGGTGATCTGACTCCCTGTTCCAGGATGGCCCCAACTTTGTCTTCTTGTGGCTTGGTTCGCCAATTATGTGGAAGGTTTTATATAGTCAATATACTTAATAAACTTTAGTCAACTTTAGTCAGGCAACGTGTAGTCTTTATTGCAAACATCACAGAGTACACAACATAGCTGAGCTTATCTTAAGACACGACTGAATTATTAAACATAATACATAAAATTTTATATGGAACCTCCCTATGTGTATGTGTGTGTTCCAGCCTATCCCCCTTATATAACCATCCCATTTCTCCCAATATGATTTGTATGTTTGTGTATTTCTTCGTGTTTTCCAGTATTGGTGTTATCTGGGGTCATTAACCAGTTTTTTTTATGAACTCATTTGTTCCGGTTTTCCCAGCAACTAGTGACAGTTTAATTAAGTGTCTTGTTATTGTCACCTTTGCCCTTCCTGAAGTGTCTGCAAGGATACAGTCACGTACACTCGCTTAGCCATTAAGTTTGCCAGGAACAGTAGCGTAAGGTAACAACTGGCCCCAGTGCAGGCTGTTATGATAGGCCCTTGAGCTCAGGACATGAGGGGTCAGCTGTCAGTGGGGGTTCTGGGTCTTGTTGATTGGCTAGCTGCAGACAGGAAGAAATTGTTCATGCTGCGTGAGGTTTTGGTCCTGATGGACCACAGCCTCCGGCCGGAGGGGAGTGTCTATTTCCCAACACGGACACCATTATCAAGAAGGTCCAGCAGAGGACGAGCCAGCACAGGAAGCTCAACCTGCCTAAGGACCTGCTGACCCACTTCTACACAGCCATCATTCAGTCTGTTCTCTGCACCTCCATCACTGTCTGGTTTGGATCTGCCACCAAAAAGGACAGGAACAGACTACAACGGACAGTCAGGACTGCAGAAAAAATAATCTGTGCCAACCTGCCCTCCATTCAGGACTTATACATTTCCAGAGTCAGGAAACGTCACTGCAGATCCATCTCACCCCGGACACAACCTGTTCCAGCCTCTCCCCTCTGGTAGGCGCTACAGAGCACTGTACGGCAAAACTAACAGACTTAGGAACAGTTTCTTCCCACAAGCCATCAGTCTGATTTCTGACTCAGTGTCAGGAACAATTCTAATAACCCAGTAACTCTGCCTCTAATCAGCCACCTATTTACTGGCTAACACTTCTCTATTTCAGTGCTGTTGTAATGTTATATTGTCATATTGTAGATACTGTGTACCAAATCCACCTACCTCAAGTCATTACTCCTGCACAAAATACTTACTTATTTATTCCAGCATCCCTAGCAGTCTGCTCACTGCACTATTTGTCAATGTCTATATTATTTTTGTTCATAGTGTGTATATTTGTGTTGTCTACACTGAAGTCAGATTTTTTTACTGCGATTTTGTATTTTTGTATTAGTTAGCACATCTTGAGCAATGTACAATCCATAATCAAATTCCTCGTATGTGTACACATACCTGGCAATAAAGCTGATACTGTTTCTAATTAATTTTGATGGTTCTCACACCAACTTCCTCTCCGGCCAATTAGCAACACTGTTTTAATGGCTGGGTGTGTGTCATTGTACAATGTGAGGTATGTGTGTGTGTGTTCTTTACAAAAATGTGAAGGCTGCAGCCTGAGAGCAACAGGCTGAGCGAGAGCACTGAACCTCATCTATCACTTAACACCTCAAACATTATTCTAATAAACATGTTATACATTACCCTAGTATTTAGTAATTATCAAGCTAGGAATTTGGAATATTCAAACGTCATGGCTAAATGCTATATAAAATGTATTCAACACTCCGACCATCCACGCTCTTTATTGGAGATTCAATCATGAGAAATGTTAAGAAAACAAAAAAGCTTTCCAGGCACAAAGGTGACCGATATTATGGAAAAGATTTCCAACATCCTGGCTGATTGCCCTCTCGCCCTCTCCCAGGATGTTGTCTTTCATATTGTAATGGCATCCCCAGAAAAAATTAGCTGCTTTCACACAGAGATCCCGCAATAAACGTGAACCGTGTGTGCTTTCACATGGCGATCTGACTTTCCCAGGTTAGACCGAAAAAAAAAAAAAAAGACTGTGACTTGTAACACAACAGTGTTGATACGTAAACCTGTTCCGGTTTTGGCTCGCGCTCTGTGCAGATGTGGTGGGACTCTGTGCTTGGCTGGCTCCCTGTGGGTCCCTGTGTGTGGGTCCTGTGTGTGGTTCCAGGCGGGTTGGAGGGAGCGGGCATGGCGGAGGGGAAGGCAGGGGAGGATGCTTGCGGTGGGTTTCTGTCTGGTGGTGAGCGTGCGATGTGGGTAGCGGGGTGATGTTGGTTGGCATGCACCTTAGTTACCACTGACCTTGTCTTTAATCCACCATACAACACTTCACAATCCAATCCAAGCCTTTGGCTTTTGCTCATTTCTGGGGCAGGTGGTGTGTCCCTGGGCCTGGGGGACCATGATCTCCTCTCCTCGCCGGGGCCCTCTTCGGCAGGGGTGGGGCTCCCACTGCTTCTCCCTGCCGCCTCTCTCACAGTGGGGGCATTCATGAATCCCTTGGGCACATGAACGGTGTTGTTGGGGTGGGTTTTGGACCTCTTCCTTGGGGGTGGTTGACTGGGGAGGCTGTGCCCCTGTCCGGGGCCGGGACCGGCCTCAGGTTTACGGAGCTCGGGGGCTGCTGGCTCTGCCTGCACTCTGGGGGGGGATGCCCCCCGGCTGGGCTGGGGGACTGTAGGCCCTGGTTTTCCTGCGTTATCGCTCCCTGGCAGCGGGGAGCTCCCCGGTCCGGAGGGCTGCGATGGGATTGTGGGGCGTTGATGCGTTGTTTTTTTCTTTGCAGGGTCTCTGGGGGGGCTCCTGGGCGTTAGTTTGTGCATTGGAGTCCGAGGGAGGCATTTCCTGGTTGGCTTGGGAGGACTAGTTTGCGTCCCGTTGGCCTCAGATCCCTGTTTCTCTGTCAGCCAGTTGTTGGACTCCTCTGGAGACTGAGGAATAAAGTTATGCTTTGCTGCTAATGGACCAACAGAAACTGAATGGGATAATGAAGATAGAGGATTACCTCCAAATTCTTCGGGAAAAGCTTAACTCCTCAGCCAGAAGCATGGGTCTCAGATGCAAGTGGGTGCTTCTAAAGGACACAAACACACATCAAAAGTGGCAAAGGAATGGCTAACACAGGCTATAATTTACGTTTTAGAATGGACTTCGCAGGGTCCTGACTTTAACCCCATCGAGAACATCTGTGCTTTGCTGAAGAAACAAGTCCGAGTCAGAAAGCCAACAAATTCTGCTGATCTGCACCATATCCGTCAAAAATTCAACCAGAAGCTTGCCAAAACATTGTGGATGGCTACCATAAATGCCTAATGGAGGTGAAAATGGCCAAGGAAAATTTAACCATAAAGGCAGCGCAAACACTGCCCACCCCACACTCATTTGAACTTTCATTGCAGGTGACAGTCTCTCCGTCAATTAGTATATCTTTTTCAAATTAATTTCAATAGTGTAAGAAATATTACTGTTTTTTATAATTATGCTGAATGTGCCACCTTTTACATTTAGATGGCACAGGTACATCCGGGCACACCCATGGCTACAGGGCTGGTCTCAGCATCTTTCTAATCTCCTGTAAAACTAGATGTTTCCTGTTTTTTTAATAAGTAACTTAAGCCATTTAATCTGTCTCGGGTCATCTCTGTGTTGCTCTTTAGTGAGACTTGAATCACATTTGGTTATACATCCATTTCAACATTTCCCATTCTGTAATTATGTCTTCCCAAATTATATCACTTATGATTACAGACAGCATGCTTTTGGTCACTCCAGCGGTGTTTTGTTGCAGTTTTTTAGTTACACACTAACTCTGCGGCTGGATACATAAAACTGGCATGCAGTCACACGTGCACAAGCATGTTTTATGTATTTTACTAATACACACGGTGAACAGTTCTGTTAACACAAAGTGTGACTAGAAAACCAATTAGCTGCAATAAAAATACTGACTGACATACAATTAGGTACTTCTATACATGTGAGGACCATCACTGAGTAAAATAATTTCCTTGCCACTGTTACCTTAACGGTCAAAGCTACACTCCTAACCTCTGCCCTTAAATGAATTGTAACCCTCAACATAATACCAAGTCTAAACGCCCAGACAACCCCTTTCAAGTGAGAACCAACTTTTTTATGTATATCATCACTGATCATCATCATGATGCTTTTTGTGGGCATGTGTGACTGGGGAAAAATAAGCTCTTCACTAAAACACTCCAGATTGTTTTAGTGAAGAGCTTATTTTTCCTTTAGCCTTGCTAAAAAGCACATCAGACGCAGGTGTTAGGCAGTGGCATTTTAACTATACATATAAAACAACATTTCTAATTCCATTTTTTTGTTCTTCAGGATACCAGAAATTTTGATGTTGTTGTTGGTGATATTCCTACTGAAACTATTGTCTCCCTTTCAGAAACAGACAATATTTTTCTTATTGCTTTTTTTTAAAATTAAATCCTTATTGGACAAGATAAGGAATAAATGGCTTACAAACTGCCATGTAAGAAAGCTGGAGAATAAACTTTATTTAAAAAAAACATTGATATCATATTTCTGCAATCAAGAGATTTTACAGATATTTCATAAATAATTTTACAAAATGTCTCTATTAAGAAAGTGACTGGCTGCTATCTTTTGATTCCACTTACATCTCTGTATTTCTGAGTCGTAGTAACTGGAAGCCCTGACCACAGACCAGCACCCATCCTGTCTTTTCTCTCTCTCTTTTCTTGCTCTCACAGGACACCTTAAAACCTGTCTCAGCATTTACCTCACTCTCTGTCTCACCCACGATGTCAGTCTCTGTTTGATTTCTACTCTCACCAGCTGTCTCACCTCCCTTCTCATCCCTGGTCTTACAAACTGGGTCACCTGTCTCGCCCATGCCTTCAACAGGTTCTCCACCCTCGGCCTCATCAGCTCTTTCCTTATCCTTATTGGATGTCCCATCTGTCTTACCCTCTGCTGTCTTACACATCGTTCTTAATCCAGTCTCACTCCCTGTCCCTCTCCAAATTGCAATCTCCTGCCCCGACTTAAAACGTGTTTTCCTCTTTTTAGCTCCTTCCTCCTTGTTTATCATCTGCCCCTCCCACACTGCGAGACCTGCAGCATCAGCAATGTGGGAGCACAGCGCCCCAATCTGGCTGATACCGGTACTGCCAACTCTCCACAGGCAAACCCGCTGATCTGAAGAAGTGGAGACCACGAGGCCTGGGCTCAGGAGTTCCAGGGCGGTCAAAGGGGCAGCGTGAGCCAACGGGATGTGGGACTGGGAGTGAAGTTGAAGATGAAGCTGATTTGGGGTTTGGAACTGGGTTTGTAGAGAAATCTGGGGCTCAGAAATCTGAGAAAACCCTCTGCTGCCCCCAGTCTTCCCTTCTTCTGGGTACTGCACCCTAATTGTGGACACTGTCAGCTGCCCATCATCCCCTCCGCTAGCAACAGTTACCAGGCATCCGCCCTCTTGTTGTCCTAGTTTCTCTGTCCAAACAGCCAATGAGTTGATGCCACTCTGATGGGCGGGAATGTCGAGGCATGGGATTGGTGGAGTTGGAGCATTGCTCGAAGTACCAGCCGATAAGCAAGAAGCTTCAGTCAAATCCCACACTGCAATTTTGCCATCTGTTGCAGCACTGAACAGCAGCTTATACCTGAGAGAGACGTTAACACAAACATGTACATGTGATTGCTTTCCTCATAATTTCCCTAAACAAAAAGAGAGAGTAAATTACCTAAATAAACTAAATCTGGCTCTCAATACTGCATTCCTATATTTGATCTGCCAGTTATTACTCTTCTCTAAAACAGTGTGCTTTAAAATGATACAAATATGTTTAAAAGCATAATAAAAGTTCACATTCATTTCAGTTTCTGGAAATAAAAACATGGAACAAACACTGGCTCACCTTCTGCCTTTTCCATCCTCCAGGCTGCAGGAGGCAACACTGAGCACACAGCGCTGGTGATAAAATGTCTCCCACAACAAATCAATTTGACATTTAACGTCACTGACTGAGAACAATCTGAAACGGAACACACGGATTAGAGGAAATATCATCAGCCACATTCAAGCTGTATTTTGACAAGTGACAATGCATTTCAACATACATCCTCTGTTCTGTAACAACCACAGTTTTCAGTTACTAAAGCAAAGAGAGCATTAAAACAGTAGGAAGACATTCTGTTTTTATACTCCTTCTCAAAGACGGAGGTTTCAGATGTGTGGAAAAGTTTTCATTTTGTGATGGACACCTACCTGAGAGCTCCGTCGCTGCAGGCCAGAGCCAGAGGTCCCCCGTCGGTCTTCTCATCCACTACCGCTACAGACATGTACCTGAAAACACAAACACAACTGGTAAGGCTACTGGAGTAAAGAAAGGACATAGGAAGGAGGGAAAAAACATTTCAAAGTAGGTAGACATTAAGTATTCATAAAGAACAAGTCAGTCTCTTGGTTAATGAAATTCCCTTTACATATGTGCACAAACTGACTCAACTTCTTTAAGCATTATCAATTTCTGTTCATGCCTCCTATTAGGGCTGGGCGACACAGCCAAAAATGTTATCACGATAAAAACATTTCATATCATTCGATATCGATAAATATCAGGATAGATGTCAAATCAAGTTTAAAGGCTGATATTTGCTCCCGAGTGAAAACTGAAGAAACCAGATGGTTAATTATGTGGTTAAACTTTTCTTAATGACCAAAATGTGACAAAAACTCTTGATGCCAAACAGTGGATCACTTAGCAAATCTGAGGTTGAACGTTTAAAACTATTTTGATTAAATCTTTTTCAACAAATTTGATTAGTAAATCTTTTTTCAGTCCCTTTTCCTCAATAAAATAAATATTTTAATAAAAAAAGTAAGAGCTAATTTGTCCGTGATTCAAATGAATTAAACCAAATATTTATTGACGATATCTTGAACATTATATTGATATTGAAGAAAATTATATTGCAATAATTATCATTATTGTTTTATTGCCAAGCCCTACCGCCTACATTATAACGATTCACTTGCCTTGTTTCTGCGTCCATTTTCACCGTCTTGTGACGGTTCCGCCTCCTCTCCCACTGTTTGTCCAATCGATGACTGGCCACCTGGATCACCTGGCAGGAGGGAACCAGCCTCTGCCTGTCCCAGCCGATCAACAGCCGGTAACACTGTATTTGAGCTCGCCCACCAGCTGACACGAGCAGGGCAGAGAGAGCTGGGTTTTCACTCCCTCCCACTGGGTGTGTTACCGCTGTCACCGTTCGAACGCTCGAGATGTGGTCAGTAATAACTGCGAGAACTTCGATGCTGCCAGAGTTGGGATGTATTGCCAGGACAGTTAAGCTAGTGTCCTCTCCTCCTGTCACCACTATCTCCCAATGCCCTTTCTCTCTCTCCACATCCGTTACTTCGTCTTTGAGCCTATCCTTTCCCTCGATTTCGGTCAAATTTCCTGTACTCATTGTTTTAATCTCATAGCAAACTCCCCTTATCCTCCCCAGCCTGCATACACACGTGATCCCTCTCCCATGGACGCCCTCTCTCAGGCCCCATCCTCCATTCCTACCAGCCTTCCCAGCACAGCTTGGTGTCTCTCCAGGGGGCTGCAAAGCCAGGACGGCCCCCTGTTTGATGAAGACCAGAGTGCCATATCCGGGCCAAAACCCTTTGTGGGACGGCCAGAGACTCCAAGAGCGATGCCCCCCACCACAAGGCACTGCTAACAGCCTCTCGTGCCTTACAGGGTCCCAAACTACAAAGTGGACAGCATGAAAGCCAATGATGACAAACCTGGCTTCTCTTGCCTTGTTCTCTGTTTTTTTTTCTTCTCTAGAGCTCCCCTCCTCTTTGTCCTCCCCTGTAACCTCTATATTTTCTGTCAAATTGTGTGTCTTTGTCTTGTAGTGGTTCTTACATTCCTCTTCCAGCTCTTCCTCCTCTTCCACTGGAATTTCAGGTTCAAGAATCAAGACCCTCTCCAGCCACTCCATGCCCTTGCAGGCCCGCTGGATTCTGAGAACCTCCAGCTGAAGTCCTCCCTTGTTCGTTCCACTACTCTTTTCTTCAGGTTTTTCTGGCGGTGTTGGACGCACTCTGAAGATCCTCACACAGCCGTCCCTGCCGGTGCTGTAGAACAGTCCCTGGTATTCACACACTGAAGTTACACCCTGCTTTCCATGCACTCCAAACAGGCAGCTCAGTGGGTGCAGTGTTAGTTCACCCACTTCATTTCTTTCTCTCTCCTCCATCATTTCTCTTTTTCTGTCTTGACCTCTTCCATTTTCCTCAGCTTCAACACCTTCGTCATCGTTTTGTTTCTTGCTTGTCAGCAAGCCTTCGTCCATACTTTTGTGATCTCCCAACTTTGGCTCCCTTTTTTGTCCTTCTGGTAACAAAAGCAGAGACCCTCTCCTGTCCCCACACACCCACAACAGCCCCCATGGTGTGGAGTGGAGGGACACTGCAGCAGTCAGCCAGCGTTTGGCACAGGGGGGAAGGAGGAAAGGTGGAAGGGAATTTACACTGAGAGCCAAGGAACGGTTTTCATCTAATTTTACTTCTATACGCCAGCGATGGACAAGTCCTTCAGCGCCTGATGCTAGCAAATACAAGCTTTGTTTTGCCTTTTGCCAAATAAGACTATGGATCTTCCTTGATCCACCTGTGAGAAGAATCCCACACTGAGGATGAGAGATGGGGAAGACCTGTATGGACCCACTGAGGTTTCCGACAGCACACAAATTAACTTTGGCTGTTGAGTCTTTCACATTGACAGTTATTGTTTCCATCACACAATAACACTGAAACTCTGGTGTCCCTTGCCAGACCATCTCCCACTGACTTTTGCTGTACTGGTAAACTTTTCCTTGGTCAGTGCAAACCACAAACGTACTTTGACTCCAACTTGCATTTTCATCCCCTTCCCCAGCTATACAAACCACCTTAGGCGAGCCTGGACCAGGAAATTTCAGGTCACTTATCTTCTCTGTCACTGCATCCTCCACTCTCTCCTTCCTCTCCTCACTCCCTTCCACCCTCCACAACCTCACCCCTCCATCAGCACCCCCTGTAGCCACCCATCTCCCTTTATCTCCTGTTCCATCACTGACTGCAAGTGCACGAACCCCCCCTGCTCGGTGTCCCTTCAAAGTACGAACCACCTTGCCACCTCCAGCCCAGTCCCAGACTAAACAGGCCCCGTCTTCCCCAGCACTGAACACTGTCCCTGGGGAGAGATGCACTGAGAACACTCTAGCCTGGTGTCCATATAGAACCCTTAAACAAGCTGGGTTCAAGTCCCCACATTTTCCTCCAGGGCCCCCTAAAGCGCCAATACCCCACACCCTTACACTGCGGTCATCAGAGGCTGAAGCCAGCCATCCTTTCTCCTGGAGGTAAGAGATGCTGAAGATGACCCCGCTGTGGCCCAGCAGACGTCTCTCAACTGGAGCTTTCTGCTCAGAGTCGCTATTTTTGTCTCCTTCTCCTGGCTTCCAGAGAACCAGCTGGTTGAAAACAGTCCCTCCTACTATGACTGTATCTGCCCAGGAATCATGTACCAGAAGGAGGGCAGAGTACAGCAGACACCCCTCGAGACAGGAGCGCTGAACCAGGGCATTTCCTGTACTGACATCCAGGAGAAGAGCACTATTGTGGGCAACAGCCACACAGAGCAATGAGTGTTGGTCTCCAAAGAGCCAGCGGACATCCAGAGCCCAGTCCTGCAGCTTTATGAGGGGACCCATAATCTCCATACGCAGATGATCCCCATACCGGAACCTCACCAGCCTCACAGCCTTGCCTCCAAACACTGCTAGATCATAGAAGTTGGACTTAGAGGTTGAGCTCAGTTCTGGGGATTCGGGAAACAATTCTGTGAATTTATGAGAGTGAATAAATACAAAAATAACATATGTTAAAAATAACTAGAGGGCTGTCAGTGAGTTCAAACTCTTTACCATCCAACAGGGCTATCCGTACATCTCATTTCACTCAAATCAACTAGTCAATTTTTTATACATCCGGACAGAAGTGAAGAAATAAACCAACCTCTGTGAACACAAAAGAAGAAATTAGTGAAAACAAACATATTTGCGTGCTAACCATCTTTCTCCTCCCCATAGCTTCTTGTGGCAAAGCTCTCTGCTGTGACAGTCACCACACTTCTAGGTCTTATTCCATGGATTCTGTTGTGTTGGAGCACACTCTGTGAGACACAGGCTTTAGGGCGAGGCTGGAGACTGTACACCGTCAAGACTGGACCCTCACCTGCCAGGCAAGAGTAACAGAAAACTTAGTAGAGATGGGCAGATGGTACGAAGCTCCAAAGCATGTGAACCGCACTGTTTCTATACACTGCGTTGGAGCTTGTGTCCATGTGACTGATGAAGCTTCAAATGTCACTAGTGCTTCAGAAAACGATTCATTCAGTTTGACTAAACTCATTAAAATATTAGTAGGATAAGAAGAGAGGAGAAAAATGTAGATATATGGAGATGTACACCATAAATACATAACCTTTCCACCTAATACCAAGTAATAATGTAACAAAAGTAATACATTACATTGTGACTCATACAACATGTAAATATCAATCATGAAGTGACACTGGACCTACGCTACACCAAAACAGTCATTAATATTTCATGTCAGAAGAAATATTTAATATCTAGGCTGTTTAGACAATACATTTACCAATTATTTTACTGTAACATATTGCACAATAGTGTCTACATTTAACGCAGAACTTCTTACAGATTTAAATATAACACCCAGGCTTCTTGGATATGAGACTAAAAGTATTAACACCAAAAAGGTGTTGTAGTGCCTCAGCTGCTGTCAGTTTTACAAGCCACCAGATGCAACTTTTCTGGCATTGTTTGAAGCCCTGTAGCAACCTTAAAATATTTTTAGGCATAAATATAAAGAAAGCCCAAAAGCTTCATATCACTAGTGATCCTTTACAGTGTTCTGTCTTCTTCAAAATAAGCATCAACAGAAGAGACACACTCCCCATCACAAAACTGGATGCATATGACAAACCACATTTAAAGCATAAACTGTCCTACCCCTGCATTTATAGTAAGACAAAAATGTACAACCAATATGGCTGGGACAACCTGTGATGTTCACTCTAGAAATGTTACTTTTATATTGATTCCCAACACTGCTGTTGCCTACCTGTCAGAAGAAATGCATCCTGAAGGAACTCCAGAGCTGTGACTGGAGCTACCAGGGCTGCTGACTCCATCGCTTAATTAATTAACTTTCATTCAGGACACATTGTCATTGGTCCCTGAAAGATATAAAGTTACAACACACTTTTGAAAGATCGTTGGACCGGAGACTATGACAGGTATGGTGTGGTTGGCTGGCATTTTAAATATAAAAATGTTAATGAAGTCAGCGTTGACTCCAGTTACTATTAGGCTTTCGCTTAGCAAAACAAGCTAACAGCAGGAGCGCTTCTCGTGTTATTTGTATGTACATGTCATGAAAAGTAATCTTTCTAGGTCAATGTCAATGCCGCTACCTAGTTTACTTACTTACAAAAACACTCAACGCCACATACATGCGTTTCAAATCTGCTTTATAACATTGTTATTTGCATCCACGACCCGCAATACGGCAACCATGTGTTTCCGTCCTTTCAGTGCAACGGTTTAAACCAATCAGACCACACTGCTCGCTTCCTGAACATTGATTGGTGGAGAAAAAGCTTAGCCGTATTTGTATTGGAGAAAGCCACACACGTGACCGACTGCTGTTGAGTTGTGCTGCGTTTATTGAAAAAATAGGTTGGTTTGCATCAGTCAGGAATTTATTTTCAAATGACTGATAAGCTAGTTATTCTGTTTCTTGGTTCCTTTCGGTGACACTTATTTAGACAAATACATACACGTTTTTACTTTACTACAGTAGCAGATACAAATGTGCTGTTTCTGCACTTTATTTGTAGTGCTTTGAGTAACAGTGTTTTAGAAATATCATAACAAGTCATATAGCACATGTACAGTGTTGCATTATAGATATTTTCGAAATCTTTGTCAAACATACGTAGAGCAACTTCCATCAACGTGCATAGTAAATGTAACTCCAAATTGATCTTCGAGTAGACCGTGAACGCAACAGGAGGCAGTAGCAGGTTGCGCCTGGCCGTTGGGCAGCGGTCCAGCTATATTCACTGCTAACTATGCCTGGAAAATGTAAATTCCAAGACTCGTGGCTCTCAAAGGGAATTTACAAGGACTGGCTGGTTAAGGACGTTCAGGACATTCACTTCGCCCGTTGCAGGGCCTGCTGTAAATCAATCAAACTTCAGACCATGGGCGAGGCTGCTCTCACCAGCCACGCAGGGGGAGCTGGCCACAAAGCAGCGGTCCGCAAGCTAGTGGAAGGTAGCTTAGCTTCAATGTTCAAACGGGGACAGTTTAAGTAGCATGCTAAAAAATGTTCACAAGTGTTTGTGAGTGCATGTGATTCAATGCCGTTGATAAACTGGTATAATTGTGAGATGTATTCTATCAGTCCTGTAACGTTAGGTGGTGGGTGTGTGCGTTTGGTTACAACAACAGTCCTGACGTGTGTGTGTGTTGAAAAATCAGTCCCAGGCTGATCCCAGGTCATCGACCGCAGTTTTTCCCTCTGGACATGTTTTTTAAATGCCGTGACGTGCTATTAGTACATTAGAAACACAAGAGTAGGAAACACGTCCTGCAGTGGAGATGAGGAGCTGAACTGGCCTTGAGCTAGCGTTCCTCTCAGGGTCGACAACTTAATATCAGGGTCATGAGCGGCAGTTTTGATGTTATTGTGACCCCGAATACCTTTGTATAACGTCATACTATAAATCTACCCACATATAGTGTTTTTTAACAGGATTTTATAAGAATTCTCCATGGATTATTAATTAATTTTAATATGTTTAGGTATATTAATGGTTCAAAGGTGTAAAACCCTTAAAAGTCACCAAAAAGCATGAGAGCCATCCGTTAATTTGTATCTTAATATAAATAATCAGAATCCTCATTAAATCTTTATTGCAAAAAGACAAATAAAGTGTACATGGGACATAAAGAAGTATACAGAACTTTGATTCATGCCAAATTATGAATTGCCTATACATATTTTGCAAACATGTAATTTAATAGGTTTCTAGCGGTTAGTTTGCTGTCCATGTGGAGTAAACTACATGTCTGTGTGTAGTTTGCACACACTAAAGTCGGAAGAACAACTTCACAACCTGGAAAAGGGACCATCCGAGAACCATGCAAATGCACCGTGAGCCGCTGGCTGCCATTCGCAACCCTCATCATTAGATGCCACAAAAACTTATGCACTGAACCTTTAAAGCCAGACGCCCTCCCTGGGAGCTGACTATAAAAGAAGTTGACGTAGCCGCGTGACGTCACCCACTGGTTTGTGGACTACTGTTTTTGTTTGGCATTTTGGCCATTGCCATCTTGGCTTTTTGGAACCGGAAATGACCATATATAGACAAGGGGGAGGAGCTAGCTAGCTTAGTAAGCAAGGTGTATCCATAATTCACGTTACTGATACTAATTAAGATGCTAATTTTGGCAAGTGAAAAACGGGCTTAAAACTAAATTTTCTAACTGGTACTGGAAAAAATGAAGAGCTGACTCCTTACAGTGTCTATTGGTAGAACCAACCACTGAATTAATTTTCATAAATTGAAAACACTCCAGAAGGGTCAAAGTTCTTAGACAAAAACACTTTCAAGACCCAAGAGCAAGTTCATGGCTACCTAAATGTACACAGTGCAGTGGATACGATTTATCTCTATCCTCATTCACAGTTCACCATTATTGTAATTTGTCAGTCACAAGCCACGACCTAAAGCATACCCTGCTTTATAGTCTATTTCTTCTAAATTGGATCATAATTTACGGAATGAACATCATGGTGTATTGAAGAAGACTTGGAACTAGTGATTGATTGACCATAAACTTTTTAGGAAAGTGTTTACGGAGGTAATAAATCAAGTGAGAAGTAGAATCATTTTGTCATAGACTTCATTGGACTTCTTTTTGCAGTCACTTGTGTCGCCCCCTGCTGGCCACAACAAAGAATGCATGTGTAAGGAACTTCAGCATAGCTTTCACTTTTCATGCCCAGAGGTTGGCAATTCGGGGCTAAAAAATTAAGCCAACCCGAAATGCCAAACTACAGTTACTCGAATGGCCGCTTGAGACTGACTCCAAAAGCAAGTCAATCCCCATGGCCTGGTACAAAAAAAAATATTTTAAAGACCTTCTCGCTTGATTATCCTGCTGCACCAAAGTATGTTCAGTTTGTCAGTCTGTAAACAGATTGAAAAATCCCTAAATTTAATGTTTACATATTAAAGTGTATGATTTCTAACTACTCAATAGTGCCATTACAGAACTTAACCAGAAACTACCTTACTGACACTAAATTTGAGTCTGATTTTGTGGACTTTTTCAATATTTAGGTAAGGATTTACAGCCCAGAATAGATTATTGTCTGTCTATTGGCAATCATGCTACATTACTCATAAAGTCTGAACGGTATTATTGGTGGTATGTTGGTGTTGAGTGGGCTGGAAACACTGTTCAGTCAGAAATGTAATTTCCACTGTGTTAGTCCATACTAGTATGGACACTTGCATGTGTATGAGTGCTGTACCTGCTTCCACCAGAGGGAGGCGTTCTCTGCTTATTTTCCTGAAACACATTTACCTGCTGCCCCCTTGACTGTCTCCCTGTCCTTTTTTTCTTATCAGCAGACAATTTGATGATGATAAATGCTGCTGAGGAAATGAATGGCAGCACAAATCGGGTAAATATTCAAGTGGTTTACATTTATTTTAGAGACACAATTTCACAAGATCGTAATTTAAACCAAAGAACAACATTAAGGTAAACCAGGAGCAGCTCATGTTAATGGACAGCAGATGATTCATAAACTAACATTCATGCTAGAAATCAGTGTAATCACTTAAAACATTTTGTTGTCTTTGTCTCAGGCTGAGGACAGCAAGGAGAAAGCGGCCATCTGCCTCCAGCGTGACACCTTGGACAGAATAACAGGCAGTGATTGGTCAGATCTGCACCACAGTCCCACTACAAACTCCACCTCCCACAATGCCGAGCTACAGGATGTGACATTTCCCGCTGCCTTCTTCACATCACCAGGTACCCACAGATAAAGCTGTGCAAGCGGCCACAGTATGTGTTGCCTAGAGACCCGTGCTCATTCATCTGGCAAATGTTGGTGTCAGTGTGCACTTTTGTTTGAAAGAATATGTTTACATGAACTGTAACATTCCAGTATTTACCTGATTAGGACAATACTCTTAATAATGAAACAACACTGAATGATTACCTTTAGCTTGATAAGGTCATTGTTTAGTTTCAAATTTAACAATGTTTCAATCTTCATCAGATCCAATAGTATTTTTTTACATGTTTAAATAAATCTACTATTATATTAAAGCTAATTAGTATTGTTGGTCTTTTTGCTGACAGGGGTCTTAAATGTTAATAAACATTACAAGAAATGTTCATTGTCCTAATATTTATAGATTAAGAAATGAGTCCATACAAGTCGCCAGGGGTCACTGAATGGTGTGAGAGATGGATATGTCCAAAAAGGTTTCAGTAAATGGTTAACTTGTTTTAATTGGAACAACGTGTTTGGAAGGATTTAACTTGAAAGAGGTGGTATTATGCTCATTTTCAGGTTTACAATCTTATTTAGGGGTTGTACCAGAACAGGTTTACATGGTTTAATTTTCAAAAAACACCATATTTTTTGTCATACTGCACATTGCTGCAGCTCTTTTTTTCACTCTGTGTGTTGAACACAGCTATTGAGTGATGCATCTCGTCTCTAAATGATCTGTGTTTGGAGTTGCAATCAGTTCCAATCAGATATAGAGAAGGGCGGGCCAATGAAAAGCCGGTAAACACGGCTTTGGTTCAGCTGTACATGTTGCCGACTAGCTTGGCATCATAGACTGGAGCAAGAGTTTCAGAGTGGTGAGTTATTTGTAACAAAAATATCTTTCATCCATAAAGTTGTAACTGAGCTCTGTCTCCCCATCACAGTAACAACTTTATGTCCACTGACTGCCTGGAGGGTAGCTAGTGTCTGGAAGGGAGAGGAGAGGTGTGCCGCAATTCACTGTTTTTCCACTGGTGTTTTTGAGGGTGTCGGACTAGCCGCATGGCGAGCATTATATGATGCGCATTTTGCTTTCATCCCTGTGACATCACTGGACTACAAACGAGCTGTTTTCAGGCAGTTCAGTGTTTTAAAAAAACACAGTTTTGTGTTTTCAGTTAAATCTTGTTACATGCTTGCTTTCTCTTTTGTCCAGTGTTTTCTGTGGGAGATGGGAACTCCCTTTGGGCTAGACTTTGGGCTTTTTCACTTTGCAAACCTATTACATGCACAAAAAAGCATAATACCACCTCTTTAAAGCCAAAATTATTTCAACACACGGTGCTCTAAGTGCTAGTCCGCTAAAGAAAACCTGCAGGTGACAAAGCAGGAGGGATTTGATGATCCGCACCAAAATCTAAGATCACATTAAATTGGATGAAATGTTAAAAAAAAAAATGCACGACGTAAAAAAGCTATAGGACCAATGCACTCAGGGACACAAGGTTCACCTCGATGGCCTTTTGCAACTCTGACCTCGCAGGCACCTCCAGGCTCATCAGCCAGCGTCTCCACCCGTCAGGCGGTGAGACGGAGGATGCGGGCCGCCGCTCGACTCAGCACGACTGCGTAGACCTGTCGAGACTGGAGCACCAGCAGAGAACGGAAGCTCTGGAGCAGCAGCAGCAGATGAAGATCCTGGAATGGGAGAACAGGATGAAGGTGCTGGCTTGGGAGCAGGAGCTGGTGAGGGAGAAGAGGAGAGCAACCCGGCAGAAGGAGAAGGCCTTCAGGATGAAGAAGGCTTACTACAAAGCCAAGCTAAAGAGGATGGGCGAGGACGTGCCGCCATCTTCCTCCAGCAGCGGCGATGAAGAGGAGAAAACGTCTGATCCCACAGGATGAACCGTAATAGTTTAGTGCTTGTATCATTCTTATGTTCTTTTGTCGGTATGCCATGGAACTGATACTATGTTTTTTTTTTTTTTTTTTTTTTTACATTTATTTGTACTTCAATGAAAAAGGAAGATTCTTTGTTGCTTTAAATCAGCATTTCTTACGCAAGGAGGGAAAACTTATTTTCCTGCTAAATAAGTAAGGCCTTTTTGGTTCGTTTGGTAGAAAATGACATCCTACTGAATTACAAGTTCTGTTACTTAAAAGCAGAAGTCTGAGACAATATGCCATATGGTCAAAACGACTATCAACTGCAATGTGACGCCCATCTTCTCTGTTCAAGAAAGTTTTCTCAAAGATATTCAACATAAACTAAACTAGTTGAATTCAACCCAAGTGAAAGATATGGTACTAATAGACCCATAAAAGTAAATGGAAATGCTATGAAACATGAATGTTTTGCCCACCATGTTGAAAAGCCTCTGGGTTACTGTGTAAAAGGGTTGGGATCAAAATCACAGTGATCTTGTGTCTTATCCGTCATTTTAATCACAATGTGGCTTCAGTGATCAAAATGATACGTAATTCATTGATGTTTAAGGTAGTTCCTGTAAAGGTCAAAGCCTGTTCTCGGGAGAATGTTCTTTAAAGAATGTGCTGCGATTACATCTGATCACTACAGATGTAGAAATGAAATGACATCTCTAAACGGACAATCGTTTTACATGATTTTACCTGCATAGCTTTTTTTTGCGGTGCATGTTAATATGAGTATGTATGCTTAAACATTTTTCTTTGCTTTGTAAATAAATATTGCATTTGATACAAAGTTGGGGTTGACTACTGACCTGAAAAAACCTGAATAAATCAGTGGAGAAACGCACTACATGACCAATAGTACAGTATTTGGATACCTTAACATTAAGGGATATCTGAACACATCATTTTGAAACACCATGCACTTTACCACACAACTATAAACAGCAGAGATTTGCTCCCATTCAGGTGCGAGAGATAAGAAGACGACCGCTGATTATGGGTGATCAGGCCAAAGGTGTTGGATGGGGTTGAGGTCAGAGCTCTCTGCAAGTTCTTCCACTGGAAAAACCTTTTCTTTATAGGCTTTGCAAAAGTCCGGGCAATGAGCTGACAGTAGTTTTTCTGTTATTTAGCAGATTTTTTCTTAGAGTTTGGAAATCGAGGTGGCAGCTGAACATGTTTGACATCTCTGAATGTGGCAGGATACTTCGAGTCAAAGCAAGTGAGAGAGAGAGCGTTCCAGAAAACCGTGTCCCTCTGTCAGGATGTTCCCCCTGCTCAGATTTTCGCACCTGAAAATGTCTGTTCTCATGAATATCAAAACAGCAAACCTCACTCTGTCACTCACACACACAATAAATATAAACACAGGCGTGTAGGAATAAGTCATTTTTTAATGTCCAACATTTCTCTTGTTTCCGTGGTAACAGAGGAACAGCTGTTTCCATGCCGCCATCCCTTTGCCAACGGCGGGATAGAAGGCATCATATAATGAACACACAAATCTAACAAAGACAATCTCCCATCCCGCCTCCAATCCCTCTTTTCAATTTTCAGAGCACATGACAACGTTTTAGTCTCAACTCAGTGTTTTTGTCTCCCCCTAAGTGTGTGACTTCTATTGGTCTGAATCACATTAACCTGAAGCTAGAGTTTTCATTTCAGCGTTACTGACGGCTGACTGTGTGTAAAAGCAGATACATAATGATCTGAACAGTAGAACAGGGAGGGAAAAAAAGTTTGATTAGGGACATACCTGCACTATTTACAGCCAGTATGCAAATTTTAGTTTGGATATGTTTAGATATGTTGACATTCTCTAATGGAGAGGATAAATGCATGTATATAGGATTTTACATCCATGATTGGATAAAGAAACTAATTTAATGCTGAAAGCTAAATGTCCCGCATCTATCTGTGAATTTGTTGCAGTGAGAGATCATAAGAAACATTACATGTGTGAAAAAAAAGGGAACACTTGGACAAAAGAACTCACACATACTTCTTTAACAACAGTCTTTCATACAAAATGGCAACATAAATAATCAATACAATGTCAATAAATTATCGATAAATAAAATAAATCTCATGTCTGTACAAGTTAAAGGTACTGTCAGTTGGAGATAAACAAATCTATGAAGACAAAGTAAGTAAATGGAGCGAATGAATGAGAAGGAATCAAATTCAGGAGCAAAAATTTTTTTTTTCTTGGCAATACTACTGTCAAAACTAGCTTCAGTTGTCACATCCCAGGGACTTGGCAATGACAGAGTAGCAGTCAGAGCAGGGAGATATGCATTTGCAAGGTGTGTGAGATGTGCGTTTGTGTTTATATCCACTATTCACTTGCATCTGTCTTTCTCGGTCTTTGTCTTCCTCAGCAATGAGTAACATCTACGCCCTCCTCCTTGCAGTTACACTTTTGCGCATAGTCATGGATTCTGACCCAGTTTGCGTTCCTTCCAACCTTGTCTGTTTTTTTACCTCGTGATTTATTCTGACACTCATAGTGCTGTATTTTAGCCTTCCTGTTTTGCTATCCACTTCCTCTCTTGCTGTGTTAGCGTTGTAATACTTCAGTTTGTATGACCCACTACATGTTTTTCATTACAAAAAAACATTTAGGTTATTGACAATCCCTTAATCCCTCTGAAGGCTAGTGGAGACTGCCTGTCTGTCTCCATTGCTTACAAATGCCTGCATGTTGTTACCTTAAGGCTGAACTCAGCGCTCGCTCCAACAGCTGTGAGAGAGGAGCAGCTGCTGATGGACCTGCATCTCAAAACCACTTAGAGGCTTTTAGTGCTGGCACAACTGACATCTCTCCTCAGCAAACTTGTACAGCGCTGCAGAAGCTACGCTGTGCCTTTCAAGAGACCTCACCTTTGTGCATTAGTCTAACTATGAGAAGACATCTGTATAAATGTGTTCTGATGGGAGCTCATAAGCAAAGTCAGAACTATGCAGATTTAGAGCTAGTGCCTCTGTTCTGTTAGATTTTGTCATATATAAAAGGACAAGCTGAAGTCATTTCATCTGCATTCAACCAAGCAAGTAAAAACTTCTGTCATGGGATTCATGTGCTACAGACATGAGCTAAAATATTCAGGTAGATACTTGCTGGGTATGTACTGCAGGTCTGCTTTCAGGTCTCCAAACAAATATCTGAGCACACTAAGATGTGACTCATAATGCGTTCCCTCTGATCCGCTCTCCTACATGCCAAATCAAATCCACTTGCTTATACAGTATGCAGCCAACTAAAATATCAACCAGTGTTAGCTTATCTAGTAGCACAGACATAGGGCCTCATTAGGGCCACAATTTTTCACTTTAGGCTTGTTTCCATGGCCCACAATTTTCTTTTTTTTTTTTTTTTTAAATGAAGACTGAAACAAAACTGTGAATCTTCAGCATTCACATCCTGCACAAGTCATTTTCATTACAGAGCTTGGATTTGAAGCAGTTGTCCCTTTGGCTTGGATTTGCACAGCACTTCTGCATGAGAAGCTTTTATAAATGAGTCTCCTGGATGCTGCCAGAGAGATTCGGCTGCTCCTGTGGCATCTCCTGAGGCAGGCCGAGTTGTGATGCATTGAAGTGCAAGATACCTTGAGGGGGTTTAAATGATTGTTAAATGATACAGCCTCATACAGAGAGGCAGACAGATATCTACCTTCACCCACCAGGTCTCTGGAACACTAAAGATATGGTCTTGTAATATCAATCGACTGATATGGTCTGGATCAGACAGCACCAGGCACAAAGATACACAGACAGACGACAAGGTCACATTCATTTACAGCGGATCACAAAACAGCACAATCTCCTGAAAGAGCTGAAACTTTGACACTTGTGACTGAGCTTTAATAGCTGAACTCTGAACCTTCTTTTAGGTGTTTAGCTTAACGTTGGCCATCTTTCTCTGCACATTCATCTTGTTCCATCAAATCTCTTCTTTGTAATACTCCCTTCCTCTATTTACAATCACTTCTCGCTACTTTGATATTTTCCCTTCAACCACATCTTCAACCATAATCTCATCAGATACTATTGCCGGACCCCTGTCACTATACACAAAGTTGATGGGTGGGAGGAAAAGGTTTCTGAGGAAAATTGGTTTCAGGGAGACATTTTGGGATAGTTTTTTCTTTGTAAGGGAAAATCTCTCCCTCAGCAACAAACAAGACTGCATTCGCACCAACCTCACACAGACACTATCTTTAAAAAAAAAAAAAAAAGAAACATCACAAGAGATTTCTTCTTCATCTTCAATGAAAAAGATACAAAATGTATAAAAATGTTATTTACAGTCTCTTCTTTTTTTTTTTTTTTAGACAGATCTTGTATGGATCAATCTGATCTGATCTGTTTGAAATCTGAGGAGTTTGTGTTTGACTTTAACAGTTTTTAGGTAGTAGAGGTGATTTGACTCATTGTCCAAAGAAACGTCATCGATCACTGAAGGCGGTGGGACTCAAAAAACCTTTATACAGTACAAACCACCCACAAACATCCTCTTTTGTCCTCAGTGGACACTCTCTCTGTCTTAATTTCTTTCCAACTCTGTGTCTTCTCTGTCCCACGTTTGTTTCTAGTCCTCCAATGTCCCGGGGTGTGTCAGTGGTTAAGGGCCATCCATGACCTTCAAACTTGTCCCTGGTGTTCCAAGCACTGTCACAATGCATAAAGGGATATTAAGGCTGTCATCAAGACTGCCCTTCACTTCTGTTGGCTCTGAGGTGAAGGAAAGAAAAATGTGTCATCAATATGTTTAAACTTCTCTGTAGTGATAATATAAATACATGAGCAAAATGGAAACGAGCTGTTAAGAGGCAGAAGGACAAAGAGAGAGGCAGGAGACAGAGCTGGAAAACAGAACAAAACAGACTAAGTCATGAGGGATGAGAAGATGAAGAAGCTGAAAAGTATTAGATCTGAGGGAGCTGGGTAAGGCTGAGGTAAAAAGGACGATGAATTTGAGACACAGCTGAAGATGTTGAATAAAAAAGGGACAGAAGAGAGGGATAGTCGAGGCAGATTTATTCACACAGAAGGACTTACTCGGAGTCGGGGGAGACTTCAGATATGCTGTGGGAGGTGGCAGACTGAGGTGGGGAGGGGGAGGGCCCATGGGCGGAGCCATTAGGGCCTGGGTTAGAGGCAGCAGAGGGAGGAGTGAGGACCGAGGAACTGAAGGATGCCAGGATGGAGGATAGAATATCCAGATGTTCACTGGATGGTTGTCGTCCCAGAGGGTTCGGATTTTGACCCGGGACCTGGGGGACAGTCTGACCGGGGTACCTACATGGAGGTGCGGAGTCCAGCCGTCCTCTAACGTGAGCTGAAGCCGGGAGCTGCTCTTGCTGAGGCTCCTCTGAGATTGGGGGAGAGGAGGGGAGGAGGAGGGAGGCTGGTCGGGGTGGGAGGGCTGGCGGGGAGGCAGAGTGCGGAGCCACTCCCGACACGGCTGACCCTGGGCTCCTACTCCGTTGGTCTCCAGCTGCTCTCTCGACCTACTGCTCATCAGTGCCCCCCCTAGGTGCTCTCGGGATGAGGCCTGCCTCCGAGTTAGGGTGTTCAGCTGTGACCTCGATCCACTGAGGTATCCCTCCGTTCCTCCATTTCCACTCAAGTCCTCCCTCGAGGCGTGGACACTGCCTGCGTGGTGGTTGTCCAGTCTGTCCCTGGATACTGCCAAGTTCTCCCTGGATGATGAGACTCGCTGGTGATCCAGCCCCAGGCTTCCTAGCCCCGCTCCCTGCCCCAGCTCTCTCCTCCTGGGTAAGAGGTCCAGGTTGTCCCTAGAACCACGGGAGTCCAGCCGGTCCCTTGATCCCCCAATCGTCTGCCTCCCTAGTGGATCCCTGGACAGCTGCCTCCGGGCTAGCGAGTCCAGGTGCTCCCTGGAGGAGTAGCGGGAAGCTGGTTGGGAAAGAGAGCCGGAACCTCCGCTGGCACCTGCCGTGGCAGAGTACATGCGACCGTAGGAGGCCGCAGGAACGCCCCGGTGACCCAAAGTAGAGGTCCGGTACCAGTTCAGCTCACTAGGGACCCGGCCCATGGTGGAAAGACCCTGGAGTGCTGGGGGACAGCCAAGACGATTCTTAAGGATACCTGGGAGGAGAGGATGAGAACATGAGGAGAGACGAAAGCATGAGAGGCAAAAAAGGAGAAAGAAGGACAAAGTTAAAGAAGGAATAGGATTCCATGGAGTGGGGTCACAGGAGAGTAAAAAGGGGAGAAGGATACAGGGGTACAGAAGTGAGATGAGGGGAAAAGGGGATGAGAAGAGAAGGAAGTCAAAGGATGAAGAGAAGTGGGTAATAGCAGGACAGAATTGTTTTGGACATTTGTAGGTCTTTCTGTGTTCACTGTTAACATTTTATGAATCAAAATACCATCTGAGTAATCCGGAAGTCCTGAGGGAAACTATAATATACACAAATGTATTAATACATTCCCTAAAATGTCACACATGCTTCCAGGCAACATGAGTGATTTCCAACTTTGCCTGCATTTTTTACTCACTCACTCTTTGCATGTGTGGTTTGCCTCCGTGTGTTTGTGTACACGAGGATTATATATGTATGTATTCTGAGTGTACATACTGTACTGTACATAAAAATGTGTCACCCATGCATTTGGGGCCAGATTTAGACCTTGAATCTAACAACGCCACACTGTGTTGTTTAAGTAATTTTTTTATGCACAGAGGCCACTTGACTGTAGTTTCATGTGTGGGTACACAAACCTGCATGATATGCATATGCGGTGATCAAAGTGTAAACCATGGGATGTTCACCATCACACTATATTCTCACACTTAAGACAAACATGCTCTTCTCTGCACATCCCAACAAGAGCCTGGTTACTAATAAGAACCAACAAGAAAACAGTAGTAGACAGAAGTAAAACACAAAATAACAATGATTTTTGTGTGGACATCCATCCAAGAGAGGGCACTGTTAGTTCACATGGAAGGTGCAATAATGAATAAATGAAAAATAGCCAAACTGCAAATGAAGTCTATCTAAAGTCAGTTATAGAGCTGTGTTTTAAATATTGCTTAGCTGATTCAGCTCACAGAGCTTCTGATGACCAGTCAGACAGGATGCCTGGAGATTTTTGTTTAACTGTATGATGAATATAATATGTATTCATAGTATACATATTATACATATATACATATACTATTCATAATTTACTTTACATTCTGTTTCTTTTTCCATGAGCCATTGTCTGAACTAAAATTTAATTCAACCCCCCCCCCCCCCCACCTCTGAAATGTATGACTTGATGCTCCATTACATACAGTAAGGAAAAAATGTCAGTGTTTCTCTCACCCTTGCGGTGTCTGTGGGGCTGGGTGAGGCCGTTCTCGTCCCCACTGGTCAGCGCTGCATCAGGTTGGTTGTTGTTGGCAGCGTCCTTGCTGTAATCTGCCCCCAGGGGGCGCTCTGAGCCCCACTTCTGCAAGGTGTGTGTCTCACACTCCTCCAGAGCTGGCCAGTAGGACAGAAGGTCATTGCCATCCAGATCTGTCACACACAAAAAGAACAGACACTTCAGCTTTAGAGACAAATCAGGAGGTGAAATTGTTGTTGTTACAAAAATTAACACCTTCCCCAACACACATGTTCAAACGTCAATCATCAATTTATCGACAAATGACTAATGATAAAGTAAAAAAATCAAATAGTGATTAAGAACTAAAAAAGGTTTGGGAAAGTAGACAAAATCACTAGCATTGCTGTCATCCATGAAAGTATTATTAAAGCCAGTAAACAGTTATGAAAAGCTGTCAATATGTTTGCATGCCTCTTATTAATCTTTTTAATTTGACATCATTGTGTTACATTCTTTTTCCACACGCGCATGTACGAACACAAGACAGACGTCTGTATCAAATAGCACGTGGCAGCAGACAAATAGCATATGTTCATTATGAAATGACGAGCCTGGGCAACTTAAGACTGTTGTATTGGTAGATAATGTATCAGACTAGTGCAACATTCATGGTCTTCACATGTAAAACATACAATATTTCATCAAAAAAGTTAAATCAATCGTTAAAGTCCAACAAAAGTGAAATGTGATGTCTTCACATTGCTTGTTTAATCAGATCAATCCTAAGATATTCAATTTACAATGTTGTTTGGCAATTTTGCTTGATAAATTACTTTAATCCATTATTGCAGATTCCTTCTTCATTCCAGCTATCACATAAATGACGTCATTGCACCATCGACATTAAGTGCTTACTTTGACAATCACATACTGTTCTAATTGAACCTTTTCCCCTCTGTAATATGCTTTTAAAAAATGAAAGGTTATAAAAACCCATTTATTGTTTTATTCTGTCTTGCACTCATGCACATTCCCTGCACAGTCCTCTAATACTGCCCAGTCTGTGGCTCTGCTGAATCAATGAGAAGTTTAATGCTTTGGGTGGTGATGGCGCAATGGATGAGACTATGCCTTTGGTGTGAGAGACCTGGGTTCAATCCCCCACTGTGACCCATCCACCAATGTGTCCCTGAGCAAGACACTTAACCCCTAGTTGCTCCAGAGGCGTGCGACCTCTGACATGTATAGCAATTGTAAGTCGTTTTGGATAAAAGCGTCACCTAATAAATGTAAATAGGCCGCCATCATCAAATTGTGACCTTTGAGTAAAAAGCCCACATCCCTCAGTACTGCCCTGGCCCTTCAGTATGACTGCACTGATGAATTGATTGCACTGTACCGGCCATCTGGATCCTGTCCTCCTCTATTCAACTGACAGCTCTGGGCCACATTTTACCCTGAATAGAGTTCATGTGATCCAGATGGCTTCATAAACTAAGAATTGATTACTTATATGGATTTACACATGTCTGGCATGTGTTTTTTTCCACAGTGAAACCTTTCACAGAACACTGTATATGCTTGACACTGATAATAATATTAATAATAATCATCCTTATTTATAGAGCACTTTTCAAAAGCCACGTTACAAAGTGCTGTAAAAAAGCATTTATATCACATGTGAAGTGCATAAATTCGTATGTCAGAGAACTCACTGACTACTGACACTGACATTTTCTCTTATTGTGTGTGTCCATTTTGTGCCTACATGTGTTGTAGTTTTCTACATGTCTGAGTTAGAAGAGTTCAGGGGCCTTTCTGTGTGGACTTTTTATGCTGACCCCACACTTGTCAAGAAAACTGGTGACTCTTAAATGCCTGTGAATAGGTATAAATCCCTGTGCTAGACTGGCGACATATCCAGGATGTATCCCGCCTCTCACCCAATATGATATAGGATACACTCTAGCCCAACACGACTCTGCACAGGTTAAGTGGGTGCATATGAAGGATGGATAGGGGCCTAAATTGAATTAAAAGAATACTCTCCACCAAAAACCCATCTTCCAAATAATCATAATAATCATTGCTTAGTATGCCACTTCCAACAAAGCTTTGCTATGAAGAGGTAATGACAAAACATGGAAGGATTGTTGTGGAGGTACTATGAGTATTGACAAGATACTGAACATATTGATCAGTGGTAAAGAATGGATGATGCCATGAGTCTGGGTTGACGTTGGAATTGTGTCTTTGTAACTGCTGGGAATCCAAGCTGAATGCAGCTGGCTTTCTCTGCAACGCAGCCAGCTACAAACATTAAACAAACTTACAGGGGATAAACATTTGATTTGATACTCAAAAGATAGATTTTCTGTTGAGTATTCCCATAAAATGATACATGTAATGTTTTACGTTAAGGTTACGTTAAGTTCAATCATCATCAAATCATAAAGTGCTCGTCTACCTTTGGTGCCGTTGTGGGTGGGCTCAGTGAGCAAACGCTCACTGTGATTGGAGCGTTTAAATCTCCGTTGGATGCGCCCACGGAGTCGGACGTTGTCCTCGCTCTCCGAGGAAGGGATGGAGAGACTGCGCTCCTCCTCCATGGAGAGGTCAGAGTCTGAGTCAGAGTCCTCACCTGGGAGAAGAGATGGAGGAGAGAGAGAGAGTGAAAAAAGACAAAAAAACCCAACACGAACTAGATTGTTATCTAACCCTAAACAGAGATTAAGACAGGTTAAATCTTCCTGTTTGTAGTTTAAGTTCCATCTGTATTTGTTATTTTTATTCTTGTAATTTATAACTGATAAATTGAATGGTCTTGATTGTATTAATCTTGTTATGTCATTTTTAAATGTAAACTTTTTGGATTTTGTTGCAAACTAAATTGGACTGAGCACATTAAACTGAACTGAGAAAGAAAGAAAGAAAGAAAGAAAGAAAGAAAGAGGCAGAGAAGAAACAAGCAAGAGGAGGGATGGAGAGAAGTAAAAAAGAGGAAGGAGAAGCAGTGGGGTTCAGGAGTGTTTTCCGACTAGCTTGGCAACATGGACTGGAGCAAGAGTTTCAGAGAGGTAAGTTATTAATCTGTAACAAATGTATCTTTCATCCATAAAGTTTTAACTGAGCTCTGTCTCTACATCACAGTAACAACTTTATGTCCATTGACTGCCTGGAGGGTAGCTAGTGTTTGGAAGGGAGGAGGTGTGTGCTGCAACTCAGTGTATTTCTACACTGAGTTGTGTGTTTTTGAGCGAGTGTTATATGAGGCGCATTTAGCTTTCATCCCTGTGTCGTCACAGGGATGAAAGGGAAGCGGCTAGACTACAAACTGTTGAGAAATATTGTTAGCCAGGTTCAGTTGTGAAGAAGTTTCGGAGACTGATGAAGACTTAACATAGCATTGTTTATTGAGCCTGGCCGAGGAGACACAGTGCCAGCATACAACATGTGAACACGTCAAATGCCAAACCAAATCTCAAGGAGAACGTCTTGTGGGTATATGAGCTAAGTCTTTAATGATATTCATATGGAGAGAGAGTACTGGGAAAGGAAAAGAGAGAAACATGCGTGAAGAAATGGAGAATGAGTCACTACTGCTCGTTAAAGGTGTGCGTTTGTGACCATGGTCATGTTTATGTACTATGTGTGTTTACCTCCATCTCTATGGAACATGGCTACATCCAGGTCTGTTGCTCCGGTGTGGACGATGTTTTGTTCCAGAGTCTGACGAGCCAAAAGATTTTCTCTAACAGGGAAAGAGGAGAGAGAAGTGAGGATTCATGCACACACACACACACACACACACAAAGACAATCACTCAGCCATAAAGACACCAATTTCCATTTTCAGTGCATTAGTGTTGCTCTACATACAGTACGTTGTTCCATCCAATCTTCTTCATCTTTATCCCACTGACCCACAAAATAACAACAGGGTTTTTATTAACGAGGGAATTTCCTCCCTGAAGCAACTAAATCCTAAATATGTCACAGAGAATAAATCAAACCTGACAGATTTGAACCTACTAGAATGATAATTTATTATTTTTATATTGTTTGTATAAAACCATTTGCTCTTAATCAACTATACCAGCCATGGTGTAGATGCTTTCCATCCAAATTGATTTCTGGTTTGTTGGTTAAAGTTGTGATGTGTGTGTGTGTGTGTGTGTGTGTGTGTGTGTGTGTGTGTGTGTGTGTGTGTGTGTGTGTGTGTGTGTGTGTGTGTGTGTGTGTGTGTGTGTGTGTGTGTGTGTATATACCTGGCGGAGCTGACAGAGGAGATGGTGGACGTTCCCAGGGTGATGCGGTGCAGTCCACTCTGCTCCAACAGAGATGCATTGTGATAGGGGTTCTGAGCCTGAACACACACACAAACACACACACAAACAGAAAGGTTGAGAGAATGATGTTAAATTCTGAGAAATGAGAGGAAGCAACATTATTCAGATCATATTACATCCACCATTACACGGATTGGTACAAAACACAGCCCAATTTCCTCCTTGATGATGCTTTTGGGACATGGAAAAACATGCATTAAATCAGCCCTTCTTACATAATGCAGTGTATCTAGAACTCTGTCTTTATTAAAATGTCCCAATTGTCATTTTAACAAAGACATTTTTTTATTGTTAGCATGCAACAACTACAACCTTCTTTATACTTTACTATAGCTTCCCGAGACTCATGAGGGTCCTAGGGGGTGGGGGAGTTGCTGAATAGTTACCGGGTAAAAAATAATAAAAAGGCTAGTGAAACAGAAGCTTGTCTCAATATGGGGCACAACTTCGGCTTTCTATACTGTGTTAGGCCATTGTAGCCATAAATAAAGCATCATACAGTATGAGTCAGACAGGCGAATGGATGCTAATCCATGTGTGTTCATTTATATATGCAGTCCAGAGGTAAAAACAGCGTAGTGTGTATAATAGTTTCAGGAAGGTCCAGTCGTTTTGCCCCTGGGTAACTATGAATAAACTAAGACACATTAACACACACCTGCATTTATGTAACACAACTGTCTCATGCACACACACACACACACACACACACACTTAAGCTACATATGATGTTCACTGGCTAAAAGAGGGGATTAAAAGGGGATATTGGACTAAAGATGCACGCACACACACACACACACACACACACACACACACGAAAAGAAGAGGCATAATGATAGTTTTTAAAAGAGAGGCTAAAGAAAACAGGAGTTAGAGTGCAGTGAGCTCTGGACTGATAAACACATATACAAGAGAGAAGACAGAGTGAAAGCAGGATAGGGTTACACACACACACACACACACACACACACAAACATACACTGTTGTAGAAAGTGGGCTATACCGACCAGCGAAGCCCTGTCCGCGGCTTCGCTGGTCGGTATATTGTTTTATCTGGGTCAGCGTCAAACCCTGAAGGCAGAAGGAGAGGAGAGAGGGAGGACAAGAAAGATGGATGGATAGAGGGATGGAGGAATGGAGGGCAAGGGCTTTTGTGTTAGTCTAGTAATGGACACAGTGAGAATGTGCATCTCGAAAAGAGAATGTAATAGAACACAATAACAAAGTAACACAAGAACAATTAATTTGCTTAAGGCTCATGCAGCGAGATGATTTACAGCTTCACATTAGGGTCTTAGATTCACTCTGCAAGTTATTGTACACTATCAAAAACATTTTCAATCAATATTTTTTATGTTTTATTTTGCATGTCCAATAGGAGGCTGTATGTATGTATGTATGTGTTTGGAACTCACAGTGTTCTGCGGTGGTCTCGGTGGGTCTTCTCCAGGGCTCTTCTTACCCAAACAGGCGACTCTCCAGGCCTCCTTAACCTCCGAGTTGAACACAGTGAAGACCAGCATCACCGACAGACCCTGGGAGAGAGAGCAGTAAAGAGAAAGACACAGAGTGAGACTGAGACCATGATTAGCAAGCAAACATCTAAGTTTAAGGTTCTAATCTGCAAGTCCTTGCAGATGTTTTATGATGCCTTTTCCTAATTAGTCCTCCCAACAAGAGTACCCAGCTATAAAACATTCACTTTGTTCATACCTGGACTAAGCAGAGGACATCGAATATATAGTAGAAAGCCAGGATGCTGTTGTTCACAGCCATCAGACCACACAGCCAGGTGGAGGTGGCCACTAGCAACAGCAGGAAGGCATTGCGAATAGTAGCACTGGACATAGAAACACAGATGACAGTGTAGGAGACAAAGGTTAGACTTGGATTCACAAGGATGATTCTGTGATATTACACACACACACACACACACACACACACACACACACACACTGGAAGCTGTACTGGACATCTGCACAACAGACAACATGTTGCATCTCTACATGTACAACTTGGATGTCTTAAGATAATGACATGGTTAAGCTTTGACTGGGAACAGCACATGTTAATAATAACATTGATTACTTTGCGTAATTACCCAGATGTCTAGTTAACCAACTTTTTAGTGAATGTAAACATCACATGTACCTCATAACACTATACACTTTAAAGAGGTGGTATTATGCACAATTTCAGGTTCAAAATCCTATTTAGGAGTTTTACCAGAACAGGTTTACATGGTTTAATTTTCAAAAAACACCATATTTTTTCACCCTGTGTTGAAGGCTTTGTTTTATCTATGGAGTGATACATCTTGTCTCTAAATGATCTTTGTTGGGAGTTGCACATACGCAGTTCCTAGTTACTACTCGCCTATCAGAAGCAGAGAAGGGCAGGTTAGTGAGAAGCAAACATGTCTTTGGTTCAGATGTACATGTTGCCGACTAGCTTGGCAACATGGACTGGAGCAAGAGTTTCAGAGAGGTGAGTTATTAATCTGTAACAAATGTATTTTCCATCCATAAAGTTTTAACTGAGCTCTGTCTCTACATCACAGTAACAACTTTATGTCCATTGACTGCCTGGAGGGGAGCTAGTGCTTGGAAGGGAGGAGGTGTGTGCTGCAATTAAGTGTATTTCTACCGGTGTTTTTGAGCAAGTGTTATATGAGGCGCATTTAGCTTTCATCCCTGTGTCGTCACAGGGAGGAAAGGGAAGCGGCTAGACTACAAAATGTTGAGAAATATTGTTAGCCAGGTTCAGTTGTGAAGAAGTTTTGGAGACTGATGAAGACTTAACATAGCATTGTTTATTGAGCCCAGCCGAGGAGACACAGTGCCAGCATACAACATGTGAACACGTCAAATGCCAAACCAAATCTCAAGGAGAATGTCTTGTGGTCCCTTTTATGTTTCTGTCTTCTCCCCTAGTGCCTGTAGGTTTCTCTATTAGGTCACCTTTCACCTAGAAACAACTATCTGATGTTTAGACTCCAATGCTTCGTCATATCTATCACTATCCATGAGTTGTACTCTAATCTGTGGAGCCAGTGAGTTCTTGTAAACATTCTTGTAGGACTCAACCTTGTTAGATTCCCAGAGAACACTGATATCTGCTAGCCTGATGTCTCTAACTAATCAGTCTATTGTTGTCTCCCTGACAAGGACATGAGAGAAATACCTAAAGCTAGAATGTCAGAAAACACTTATGGGGTCAGCTAAATTACTCTAAGCTGTCTTACCTTTCCCTGTTAAATAAACAAAGCCCCTTAAGAAATATTCTCAACACAAACGAGCTGTTTTCAAGCAGTTCAGAGCAGTGTTTTCTATGGGAGATGGGAACTGCCTTTGGAGTGGACTTTGGACTTTTTCACTTTGCAAACCTATTACATGCACAAAAAAGGTATTTAACTCAATGAAGGTGAGGAAAAAAGACAAAAAGCATGATACCACCTCTTTTACTTAGATCTTAACAAGGTGGTCATGATACATTGATACATTTTATGCACATAGCCGATTCTTTATTGATGCCCAATATTAGGGTAATAAAGAAATTTACAGACAAAAAAAACAAGATAGGCAAGAGTGACAGGAAGTGAGAGGCAGCAGGAGATATCAGAGAACCCATAGGATGAATACTGAATACTGAGATGTAGAAGTGAGGCAAAGAGAGACATAGCTTAAGTGATTTCTTCATGTTGTTTATGCACATTATTGTATCAATAACGCCTAACAAAACCATTGTCTATCAAATCATGCATCAAAGCACAGAGAAAGGACTGGTGAAAATTACAGATGATTTTCTAATTGCATCAAACAAAGGAATCGTCTCTGTAATTGTCTTGTTAGATCTTAGTACTTCATTAAACACCATTGACCATCACATCCTATTACAGAGAGTGGAACATTTAATTGACATTAAAGGAACCGGTCTAAGCTAGTTTAAGTCCTATTTTTCAGATCGATTTCACTTTGTACATGTTAACGATGAATCCTCAATGTCAAAATTAGTTCAACACGATCTGTGCTGGGACACACTTCCTTTAGGCAATATTATCAGGAAACACTCCATAAACTTTCATTCCTATGCAGATGATACTCAATTATATCTATTCATCAAGCCAGATGAAACCTATCAGTTAGCTAAACTTCAAGCGTGCCTTCAGGATGACTATCTGATATTAAACTCAGATAAAACTGAAGTTATTGTACTTGGCCCCAAACACCTCTGAGACACATTATAGTCTCAAGATATAGTTACTCTGGATGGCATCTCCCTGGCTTTGAGCACCATTGTGAGGAATCTTTTTTCACCTTCGTAATATCACGGACATCCTGTCTCAAAATGATTCGGAAAAACTAGTGCACACATTTGTTACTTCTAGGCTGCAATTCCTTATTATCAGGCTGTCTGAATAAATCATTTACGACTGACAAGCACCAGGAAAATAGATCATATTTCTCTTGTTCCAGCTTCTCTGCACTGGATTCCTGGTAAATCCAGAATTATATTAAAAATCCTTCTCCTCACTTAGAAAGCCATTAATTGTCAGGCACCATCTTATCTTAAAGACCTTATAGTACCTTTATATTACCCCACTATAACTGCGCTTCCAGAATGCAAGGTTACTGCTGGTTCCTAGAGTTTCCGAAACATGAATGCATGTTACTAACTCAACTTTTTTTCCCGGTTAATTATCTATCTATCTGCACATTTGTTTTTAAACTTTGATTTGATGATGTGACACTACAGTTGCCATGTCTGAAATTAATAGTTTATTATATATTATCTTAATTTCATGGAGGATTCTAAGCTTAGCCCAAAAATGTCCACACACCTCATAGCAATGTTATCAATAATCAATGATGTCTAAATTCTACATCTGTACTGCAGACAAAATTAGCAAAGACTCCTTTAAGACAGAACTCTGGCGTCTTTAAAAAGTTATACCATCACCATACCACCAGACCATCGTCATACAATACCCTCTAAAGCCTAAAATGAAGCAAAACTTTCCCCCCTCCAAAGCAGGAAAAGAACAATGCCAAAAAATCACTTCTTGAAAGTGAAAAAAGTATTTTAACCATGGTGGGTAGGCACTCACATGACAGGAAGCTTCTTGGTCTCCTTCTGAGAGGTATTGCAGGACATCTTTGCTACAATCATGAAAATCCCTCCATTCATCTGGATAGAGGGAGATCAATACAAGAGGTAAGCCAACATATCTAATGCATTTCAGCCAATCCAATACCGCCATTGGCAACATTGGTGATGAGGACTAACACATGAAACAAAATCAATGTGGATTAAACAGTTACCAACAGTGGAAGAAGGTATATTTATTAAAGGCAAAGCCAAGTCTATGAATTCCTCCTTAATCCTGTTTTGATTCCTTTTCTCAAACAGTATGTGAAAATGGACAGAAGAAGAAAATCACTGAATAAATTAATCAGTACAGAAGGAACAACAGGAAGACGGAAAGAAGGAAATAAATACAGGTATGAATAAAGGTCTTAAAAGTATAGAAACAAATAATACTGATTACCGACTACACTGCACTGTAATTATTCATTAGCATAACAAAACTGGAATCAATGTTTCGCTGAAAAACGGAATTCACTTAGTTTGCTGAATGCTCATCAATGGTCTACCCTACCATTCTCCCTCACATCACTGTTTGCACATTATTTTCATCCAGGTTTTGTATGCATACAGCATTAACTAACAGTTTATCCGATAGACAGTTACCAGTATGACGATGGCTATAGGACCAGCAAAGCTCCAGATGAGTTTGTCATAGATGGAGATCCAACAAAAGTCTGGATTCCCATAACCCTCTGGATCCAAGCCCACTGCCAGGCCTGCAGCCAAGATACAGACAGTCAGATCAAACAGGGAGATCTACTCTAAGATCAGTTTTACTGTCAATCACAGAGAGAGGGACAGAGAGAGGCAGTATAGTCTGTAACAGCATGACATTATCTGAATTACAGTGGCAGGAAAGGTCAGAGACATGCTACAACACATCAATAATTACAGTTTGTTTATTCTATATATACACAAGTTCACTTTTTCAAAAGTCTTCACACACTTCGAACATTCGAAAGACGCATAAGAAATAAAAAGTGATCCACAGTTTAGTCCTATCAGTTATCACAATATTAGTCACTGTTAGGGTGTGTTGTTTACAGACAAGCTAAATGAACTATCAGGTTGGCAATAGCATTTGTAGAGGTTAGAAGTAATTTATTATATTTTAAAAATATATTGTTTCAAAAGAGTCTAGTGGTTCAGAAAAAACAGTAAACCACACCTCCATGATGGTTCCAGAAGTGGTTACCAAGATATTCGTGACTCGAGAACTGTGAACTCTCTGTTACTTTTGTATCTTTGTTGGGACATCGCGGTCAAGATCTTGAGAGTCATGGTTATAAATACTTGAAAAATTGAGTTGCAAAAAGTAAGAGATAGGAAAAGCCTAAATAAAGACTGACAGATAAACACACCTCTGAGCCTGAGGAAAGAGACATGCAGTCAGTGTGTGTGTGTGTGTGTGTGTGTGTGTGTGTGTGTGTGGTGGGAGACAGATCCATTCTTAAGGCAAGGTGAAACACTGGTCGGGGTGTATGTGTGCTACACTGACAGACAGCGACAGATAGAGGAGAGTTGACAGTCTGGATGGCAACTGCTTGTGAGTGAGTGAGTGTGTGTGTGTGTGTGTGTGTGTGTGTGTGTGTGTGTGTGGACCTATATTATTGTGTGAGAGTGTAAAACAAGATGAGAGAGAAAAGAAAGCAGACAGATATTAATTACAATATTATGTGTCAAGGAAGAAATTGCTTGTGTGTGTGTGTGTGTGTCCTTTCCAGTCTCAATATTAAAATGTCACTGCAACCTGTTTAATAAAGTGTTGATAAAGTGTCAACAGGCCACTTTATCTACACAGCCAGACCCACTGTGAATGTGCGTAAAATGTGTGTCTGTGCACATATACACTGATTGGCCATAACATTATGACCACTGACAAGTGAAGTGAATAACACTGTTTATCTCGTTACCATGGCACCTGTCAGTGTGTGGGATATATTAGGCAGCGAGTGAACATTTTGTCCTCAAAGTTGATGTGTTAGAAGCAAGAAAATTTTTGCTTATGGGGATGTGTAGCCATAGACCAGTCAGGGTGCCCATGATGACCCCTGTTCACTGCTGAAAGGTTCTACAATGCACATGTGAGCATCAGAACTGGACCACGGAGCCTTTTTGGGATCTACTGGACAAACAAGTCCGATCCATGGAGACCCCACCTTGCAATTTACAGGACTTAAAGGATCTCCCACTAACGTCTTGGTGCCAGATACCACAGCACACCTTCAGAGGTCTAGTGGAGTCCATGCCTTGAGGGCTCAGAGCAGTCTTGGCAGTAAAAGGGGCACCTACACAGTATTAGGCAGGTGGTCATGATGTTATGGTTGATCAGTGTATGAATGTGCTTATAAATGTCGCAAGGACATGTTTGACGACGCATCCATGTATGCACAGATATGTTTCTGACAAATATCACAGAGATCTTAAGATGTATGTCACCTGTGATGATGGCGGGCACGCCCCAACCGATGGCATAGTAGAACCTCATGGCACCATAGTTAATGTTGCGTTGCTCAGTCTGCATGCGGTAGATATGAAGGCCCTCCACGAACATCCAGGCAAACATGGACATGAAGAAGTAATGCAGGAGGATGGCAACAATCGTGCACAGGAACTGAAGGGAGAGAGAGAGAGAATGATTCAAGGACAAGCGGCAAGAAGATGGAGCTACCAGAAGGAAAGGGAGAAAGATCAGATTTTTTTCCTGCATAGAAGAATGTGAGAATAGAGAATTATGAGGGCACCACCGTCAAAATAAAACATTTGGAAATATAATTAAATAAATACAGTTTTTAAAAAGAGTCAACTAGAAATTAAAAACGTGATGTGGTGATCCTGTATGTCATCAGCACAGTGCACTGGGAAAGATGAGAAAGAGAAAAGAGCTGTTTGGCTGGACCACAGCGCTGTGCTTTCAAAATGAACAGTGTTTCTGTTGGTAACGTCTTTGCCACGCAGCAATATCAATCACTTAGAAAACGCAGATAAACATTTACTATCCAGGAATTAACTACACTGCAAGAGGACCCTGAACTATAAATGAAAACAACAGCTTATATACACTGCTCCAAAAAATAAAGGGAACACTAAAATAACACATCCTAGATCTGAATGAATGAAATAATCTCATTAAATACTCCTTTCTTTACATAGTTGAATGTGCTGACAACAAAATCACACAAAAATTATCAATGGAAATCAAATGTATCAACCCATGGAGGTCTGGATTTGGAATCACACTCAAAATCCAAGTGGAAAACCACACTACAGGCCGATCCAAATTTGATGTAATCTCCTTAAAACAAGTCAAAATGAGGCTCAGTAGTGTGTGTGGCCTCCACGTGCCTGTATGACCTCCCTAAAACGCCTGGGCATGCTCCTGATGAGGTGGCGGATGGTCTCCTGAGGGATCTCCTCCCAGACCTGGACTAAAGCATCCGCCAACTCCTGCACAGTCTGTGGTGCAAAGTGGCGTTGGTGGATGGAGCGAGACATGATGTCCCAGATGTGCTCAATTGGATTCAGGTCTGGGGAACGGGCGGGCCCGTCCATAGCATCAATGCCTTCCTCTTACAGGAACTGCTGACACACTCCAGCCACATGAGGTCTAGCATTGCCTTGCATTAGGAGGAACCCAGGGCCAACCGCACCAGCATATGGTCTCACAAGGGGTCTGAGGATCTCATCTCGGTACCTAATGGCAGTCAGGCTACCTCTGGCGAGCACATGGAGGGCTGTGCGGCCCCCCAAAGAAATGCCACCCCACACCATTACTGACCCACCGCCAAACCGGTCATGCTGGAGGATGTTGCAGCAGCAGAACGTTCTCCACGGCGTCACCAGACTCGTCTATCACGTGTGATCAGTGTGAACCTGCTTTCATCTGTGAAGAGCAAAGGGCGCCAGTGGCGAATTTGCCAATCTTGGTGTTCTATGGCAAATGCGAAACGTCCTGTACGGTGTTGGGCTGTAAGCACAACCCCCACCTGTGGACGTCGGGCCCTCATACCACCCTCATGGAGTCTGTTTCTGACCGTTTGAGCAGACACATGCACATTTGTGGCCTGCTGGAGGTCATTTTGCAGGGCTCTGGCAGTGCTCCTCCTGCTCCTCCTTGCACAAAGGCGGAGGTAGCGGTCCTGCTGCTGGGTTTTTGCCCTCCTACGGCCTCCTCCACGTCTCCTGATGTACTGGCCTGTCTCCTGGTAGCGCCTCCGTGCTCTGGACACTACGCTGACAGACACAGCAAACCTTCTTGTCACAGCTCGCATTGATGTGCCATCCTGGATGAGCTGCACTACCTGAGCCACTTGTGTGGGTTGTAGACTCCGTCTCATGCTACCACTAGAGTGAAAGCACCGCCAGCATTCAAAAATGACTAAAACATCAGCCAGGAAGCATAGGAACTGAGAAGTGGTCTGTGGTCACCACCTGCAGAACCACTCCTTTATTGGGGGTGTCTTGCTAATTGCCTATAATTTCCACCTGTTGTCTATTCCATTTGCACAACAGCATGTGACATTGATTGTCAATCAGTGTTGTTTCCTAAGTGGACAGTTTGATTTCACAGAAGTGTGATTGACTTGGAGTTACATTGTGTTGTTGAAGTGTTCTCTTTATTTTTTTGAGCAGTGTATTTGATTGAACTTGCTGTTTGTGAAAGCAACATTATGTAGTCTTTTTTATCTGAAAATAACAGCTTGTTGTGCTTGCTTGATGTTTGGCTGCATTTACTTGATGTTTGGCTGTATTAGTTGGTAACTTGATAGATTTTGATCGTAATTTAATCACAACATTATACTACATTCCTTTTCTGTGACCGCGGCAGAGTGCTGGTACTTCTCTCTCACACTTGGAGGTGAATTTGCAAATCCTACTGGCAAAGGCATGACCCACCTTACTCTGCCTCTGATTGGCTGAGCCGGACGATGATGTTTCCTATGTAGCCCTCACTGAAAGAACAGGACTTTTTTACAGTTCTGCTGTTTTTGCCAAATTAGCTAATTTTTTTTTTTGTTAAGCCATACTTATTTACTCTAAATGCAGTCCATTACATCACATTCCATTCAAGTACTCATTACAGAAAAACCAACCAGACGATGACCAAAAACCTAAACCTCAAACAGTCCAACCTCAACAGCAACAAATTATTACATTTGTCAAGCTGAAGCCATGAAATGTTTTTACATGGTCAATTACTATTATCAAAAAAGTGGATACCCCCAGTAACGTTGCCCCCCAAGCAAAATGAAAAGTACTTCAGGAACACTACAAATGCCTGGTCTCCCATCACACACCATCACATAGAGCTGCTTTCATTCCATCATTTGCCACACCGCCTGTCTTAGCACACAGCGGACTGGAGTAGATGCAGAAATTAGCACCCCAATGTACTGAATTGAGAATATATTTCGAATCAAATCTTGACCCCAAGAATCAAAATCAAATCGTGAGACACCAACAGATTACCCCTTGTTAATGTGCTAATAACACCCAAGAGTGCATTCTTAACTGATACTATGGATACATCTGTGAGCACTGTTTGAGAGGAAAGTACACATAGTAAAAAATGAACTCACAGGTGATGCAGTTTTCATGTAGCATAAAATATTTACAAGAGTAAAAAAGAGAAAATAGATTAATAAACTAACTTGTGTCCTGATTTCAAGAGGAATTATCTGCTAAGTTGAAGCAGGTTTACATTTATTTGAGTCATTAATTTAAAAACATATATGTTACGCTTTCGTCACTTTTTAAGTTAATGAACTGCTACTGTGTTACTGTATTGATCTCCATACATTTTGGAGAGATATTCATAAAATGTCAGCTTAGGCCATGGTAAATTTCTTTTGAAATATCCATGAAACAGTATTGACGCACATGGAGAACTGTCTTTATGCCCTAGATGTGATGCTGCATGAATGCTGAGAGGATGTCAAATCAATACAAAGCGATGGTGTAATCTGCAATAACATAGAGATCTGAGGTCCTTCCAATAGCATGGTTTAGAATGCACATTATAATGAATGATTCCCAATACATTTTGTCAGGACAGGCGATAAACTTTCAAATCCAACCAAACAGCAGGACTTAACTGACAAAAGCAGTTAAGTCCTGCTGTTTGGTTTGGCAGTAATGCTGAACATCACCATGAATAATGCATATTATTAGCATTCAAATGTCTGAGAAATTACCCTCAGGCTGCCTTCAAGCATGTCTGGAGTGGTGTATTTGAACTCTTGAGCTTTTAGTCCATTTTGATTGTTTGGTCAGACGAAAAAGTGGCAACGAATTAAAGCACCTACCTAAAGTGCAAGCCACCATCTTTTAAGAGAACTGTGTGTTTGTCAGACGTAAAAAAAAAAAAAAAAATCAAAAATCAAAACCAACCACAGGAAATAACTCGAAAACACACAGATTTGCAAGTTAAGCTAAATGGTTGCTGACAACAAACTGCCAGCTTTCAAAGCCATAATTTGAATACCAAGTATAATAAATTAAGTGAGAACAAACAGTAGTCTTCACTATTGTTGAATATCCTTAACTAATATAAAACAATTATAGGTCATTCATATTTTGGCTTGAAATCAGATTTGCTCTGATTCTCCCTCTCTGCCAAAATCTTTAAGGTTTGCAGTTGACTAAATACTCTGTCTAATGATCGAGCTTCTTGTGAACCCATGTCAGTTTTTATTGACTGGTTACCTGAGATGTGTGACTTTAGCCTTCCAACTGGCCAGACACCTAAATATTTCGCTAACAAACGTTGGTGCGTCTTCAGTTTGCAGGTAGGGTTCACTTGTAATTGGACATGATGACCTGAACAAATTAAATATAGAAATGTACCAAACCTTTTCACTTCAGCTTTTACCAGAGAAAACAACTGTAAATATACGTAACTGTATCATTACTAAGAAGTTGTAGTCTTAATTATTCTGGGTGAGAGCAGCACAACACCTAAAACATGTAAATCTCTCAACCTTCACTGACTGAGCACTCTACCTCTTTAAGTTAAGGCAAGCAGTCCCAGATTCTAAGGTTAAAAGAAGCTCAGTACAAGTTCCTAACAACACAGAAATAGCAGCAGCCTTGGCAGAGGTACAGCCAGAAGATGAATTTCACACTCCCACACACACAAATACACACACTTCAAGTAACACACAAAAAGATAGAAAGACTAAAATATGCACAAGCATGTAAAAGCTAGTCTGCACACAAACACACACGACCATTGCAAGCACTAACATGCTTTCCCAAGCATGATGTACATGAATTAGAGAACATATTGTTCAACTAGAAGTAACTACTGTAAGAACCCTACTGTCGACTGTGTGGAGGAAACTGCTTAATTAATTGGATTTCATGCTGAGCGAGCACATATTTTCAGCACACTCTCTACAAGACTCACTGCTCTTTAAAACACACACACACACACACACACACACACACAGTATGATGTAACAAAACACAGAAAAAAAAAGTGGTCAAGAGACTCAAAGGAATCGAGAGAAAAAGGGCAGTAAACGGTAAAAAATATGTGATGTAGAGGTGCAAAACGTGAGCAGGAAGGAGCGATACAGAGGGTGAGAAGAGGGAAAAAGATAACAGCTGTCTCTAACAAAACTGTAAAAGAGAGAACAATTTATGCCGTTTTTTATATGACCTTTAGTGCTGCACCAGAAAATTATAATATATTTTGATCTACAATTTAAGTGAAGCCAAGGCAGTTTTCCACTACTAGTAGTACTCCAAATGTTGTTGCTAAAAAATTAGACCAAACTTTATTTTCACGAAGCGGTGAAATTGGGAATGGGGGGGACAGTGATGTGTAAAAAGAGGTGCTAAATGTGTCACAAACAAACAGGGCTGCAGAAACACAAGCACACAACCTCCCAGCAGTATCTACCTGTTGTTCAGTCTGATTGACCCCGAACAGAAACACCAGCTCCGACAAAAACATGGCCGCCGCCAAGTTTGAATGGATGCTCCTGGTGTTGGACTTGAGGCCTCGGAGGCAGGAGAGCACCAGGACAGTGAGGAGGAGGGCCAGCATTGAGACGCACAGAGAGGAGTATGTGACCAGGGCCAGTGTCTCTAGATCCCCCTCCAACTGCTGCTCACAGAGATGTGTGAGAAGGGAAAGGTGGAGAGAAGGAGTGGAAGGTGGGAGTAGATGAAATGGAAGGGCAGAGGAAAGTAGTAGTAGTAGAGAAAGATCATGTCAGAAAAAGTAGAAATTGAGAAGGCACACACAGTTAAGGAAGAAGCAAAACCTGAAATATCACAAGGTGAAATAAGAGATATAATAATGAAATAATAAGAGATGAAAACAAATCATTTTAACATAATAAAATACTGCTACTTCAGTCTGGGTCACTGTATGCCCTCCTCTGTATGACTTCACTATGTGCAAAGTGATGATATTAATATCCGAGAAGTTCAATTATTTGTAAAACAAGTAAATGAGATGAGGAAACTAAAGCTGCACCAGCCACCACATGGCGATTAAAAAACATCTATATCTAGAAATCTGTAATGTCATCTAACTGCACAAAATTCTGTCTGGATTATAATGCTAAATATCAAAGGCTTCAAAAGGCTGAGAGAGGCAGAGGATCTCTGTATTTAAACTATTTAACCTACACTTTATTTTATAGAGAAAATAACAGAAAACAAGAAGAAATGAAGGAATGCAAAAAATCTATCTAGGCTATCTACATGAATCACACAACAGCCCAAGCAAACTATCAGACTTCTCTAATCTGTCAGAAGAATCAGAATCAAAAGGATGAAATCTATTCATTGCTGCCTTTGCATGCAATGCAAGCATTTGCAGCCAGTAAACATAACAGACACCACTAGAATTTATTTGGCCAAATTGGGCATATCTAATTCATCTCAAATGAATGGAAATGAAAGTACTCCTCATTGCGCTTGGCTAATGATGATAAATAAACATCTGATTGAATTGCTTCTTAATTCAATGTAAACCATATACATTTGTAGAAATGTACAACTTTAAATTCATCATAGGGCAAGCAGTTTCTGATTCCACAATTTTCCTGTCTCATGGTCTGATACATCGTCACTTAGTATGCTGGGGTGCGGTGGGCAAGGGGTTTGCATTAAACTTTGAAAATCTTCTACATTGGTAACAAGGCTTTCTTTAGCCTTTAGAATGTCAGAAAGGATTTAATTATCTAGGATATCAAACTTCCATGGCAATTAAATCCAGCCACTACCAGCTAAGATGTTCAACTGATAAACAGAAAACCGGCGGCCTAAACAGGTATATATTTCAATACAGATGGATTCGTAATAGGAAATATACAGTTAATCCACTACATGCCTCAATATTATCAATAAGTACTTCTCCACTGACAGATCACTAACCTCTCTCTGTGAGCTGTCCATCAACACGCCGAAGGTGCCCAGTCTCTGGCACTGACAGCGGACATGAGAGGTGTTCCTGTACACCACCATGCAGTCCCTGACTGTCCAACAACCTCCTATCTCATACCTGCAGAGAGAGAGATAGAGAGAGTGAGAGAGAGAGATTGTGCATGGCTTACTTAGACACTTCATGACGCTGAGCCATTGTTATTAGTTAGACCTCTGCTTTTCTTACTACTGTATGACAGGTCTGCAGAGAATAAAGGTATAATGTATAATAAGGGTGGCTGCCGTAAGTCCAGTGCCATAAAGTCTAAAGGCAGGTATTAAATATTTTTCATTATTTAAAAGCAAACAAGTGAAAACCCAAATTCATCAAATGAACATTACATTCTGATGAAAAATATTGCAATCTTATGACAAATTTGACAAAAAAACATTCAGATGTTTCACTATGAGTATCTTGGTGTTGAATTTCCACATTAGAGTATTTTAGTATTCATGTATGTAGGAATATACAAACCAGTGTAAGGGTAAACTGTACTCACGGACTGCTGTGGTTCCACTGCACACAAAGTGGTTTGCTGCGATTGGCCGTCTCCAGCAGCTTGAACTCAAGCAGGATAGGTTGGTCCAAGTGTCCGCCCACAAACGTCTGGTTGTTGAATACGGAGATACTGACCACTGGGGAGTTCATTACCGGGTGTCTGGGAAGCCTGGGGAAGAGGGAGTGCAGAGTTACCACGTGTCTAATAGATCAGACAGAAAGCAGAGTTTGATAGCATGGTGAACAGGGAAAAGACAAGGTGAGCAGAGAGGAATGAGACGGATACACTAGAAGACTTAAATGAGTGTTTATTGACACCTACTGAAAACACAACAGTTTGTTACTTTGTAATTAAGCCCAGAGGTGAAGAAGAGGAGCGGGGCAAAGGGATGGCAAGATACCATGAGAGAAAGAGAGAGAAAAAACAGGTGTCATGAAGGTTGTATCGGAACTAATGCTGAAGCCTTTAGTCAATTAACTTAATTAGTCAACTGACAATTAAAATTAAGTGACGGCCATTTTGCTAATCAGTTAATTGTTTAAGGCATTAATCAAGCAAAAATGCCAGTTTTAGTTCCACTCTCTCAAATGTGAGATTTTGAAGGGTTTTTTATAGACCGTTTATAATTGTAAAAATAACATCTTAAGGTTGGTCAGACAAATAAGCAATTTGCAGATGTCACCATGGCATTGTATGATTTTATTATTATTGGATTTTTTTTATCAAATAATAAATAATCAAATGTCTGCTTAAAATGAAAGATAATTAAGGATACCTTTTGCATAATGTTGGCTGGTGGTTTACTGTTTTTAATCCACATTTCTATTTTCAGCGTGCTTGCTTCCTTAGAGGTGATGTAATGCCATTTTTATTGTTCTGAGTGTGACTGATTCCCACCTCACTCCTCGTCGGTCTGTGTGGTACTTGGCAGGGAGGGCAGCGCCCAGACTGCGATAGATCAGCAAGAGGACGATGGTGATGGGTGGCTCAGGCAGCGAAACAGTGCGTCTGGCTGCCGTGTACTCTCCTGTCTGATTGGGTGAGATACTGACAGGAGCAGGAGCAGCATTCTGAGGGGCTGAAATGGAGAAGTCCGTGTGAGTAAATTCAATTTGTTTAATACACATATACTGTAATGGTCTTTAATTCTATTTGTGTGTCTGTTCTTACGTTCTTTCTCTGTCCGCTCCTTCTCCTTCCAGTTGTGTTGTTGCTGTCGTTGTGGCACCAGGGCAGCTGGGGGAAGTATCACATGGGTGTAGGGATCCCACAAAGCCTGACCGCGAAACATGGTGGTGTGGTAACGTGGGAAACGTCGTCGCACATGGGTCTGGTTCTCTATACGGTCTAGGTTCATGACTGACACACAAATAGACAGATGTTATTACGCAAGAAGTGTACAGGTGTTTGTTACTGTGCAGCGCACAATATGAATACAATATTAAAATGTTATTGACCAAATATTAATGATACCTGCCCTGTTTTCAAATCTAGCCTCTAACAGCTTTCTACCACAACTTTTAGCTAAGACGCCGATCAAAGCATCATGGGACCTGTAGTTGTTGAAAGTCTTTATCTTTTACCTAACATATTTCATCATTGGGCCAACACCCTGATGGACATGATTTGGTACCACGCCTTTATCTGGGTGTTTTACTCAAAACTTGGATTCACTTCAAAGGCCCACTGAAGATGTTGAAAACATTTAAAACTATAATAGCAAATAGTATAAATCAGTTATATATAATAATAATAATCAGTTATAAAACTCTAACCGTTATTCAAATTTGATTCCTTTGCTAGATACAGGATCGGCAAGTTGAAGGTGATTTTTGCATAGTGAGAAATTGCGAAAGGTTTAGCTCCATTTCCGCTAGAAAACAGCTCCCTCATCCTGTTTCAGGCCGTTAAGCACTGAAGTAGATAAAGTAAGTTGGTGTGTAAGGTTCACTACAGACTGAAATTAATAGATTGTCTCCTTTGTTTATGGTAATAACACTGATGTCTCAAAATTAAAGTGGTAATACTTTAGTAGCCATGTTTCCATCAACGTTTTTTTTATTCGCATTATGAAGCATCGCATTAGAAAAGGTTGATGGAAAAGGCAAAATTCAAAAATAAAATCCTTAATTTCGCAAAAAAGTTTTTATGCTTGCTCGAGGTGGTTTTTCCATGTCCAGCTCTGACTACACATACCTCATAAAGCAATGGTTGATGAAAAATAAGACCAAACCATACAATACCCACCGAGTCCAAACCCACACAAGCTAAAGAGGGCCTTTTGGCTTTCTGACAGCTGAAAATCACTCCTGATTTGCACATCAAAAATATAACTCATTTTTCTATATACATACATTTTAAGGGGAAATTGAAACTGCCTGTGTCAGCAAACCAATTTGTTCTCAGTGGATTTGGAGTTTAGGAGCAAATACAAAATCCATAAACACACACAAACACACAAACACACACACACGAGCAGAGTAACTGAAAATTAGGTGGCAAACAGGAAGTACATAGTCAATGTCGAGTGTTCAATAATGAGCGAACACTTGATCCAGCAAACAGAAGGGGAACAACACTCAACATAGAGAGGAGAGAAATCACTCAGTCTAACAGACGTGTATAACGTGTGTGTGCGCCTGTTGGTATGAGTAGAGAGAGTGTTTTTCTAAAGGCTGTAATGACAATTTTGATGGAGAAACAAGTGTTTTATTAGTAAAATAAAATAAAAATTATATATTTTTTATATGAATATGCCATTCTAATGACCGACAACAAAAAAATCTTAAAAGGAACTCCTATGGGAAACTAACAGATGGGTGTGTGTCAGGTCCTTTAATATCCTTCCCCTGGTTAATCACATTCCATTTGGCTGCAAGCATTAGCTGTCTGTGTTTATGTGTGTAGGAGTGTGAAATGTAGCATTGGCTGTATTTCTAATTCCTTCTGCTTTCACTGCTGCTCCTATTTCTATGCTCTCCATCTGAGAATCTGCATCAGGCTGTCGGTTTAAGGTTACTTAACAGCATTCTGGGTGTATTCCAACGGGGAAGCATATACAGTGAAGTAAGAGAGAGAGTCACACAGAAAAGAGATGTACACAGCCAATGTATGGTGGCCAAGACAGGCAAGATCATTTATATTTTTTCTTCCGGTCTGGGATTAACTGTGTTATTAAACTACGCTGGAAGAAGCTGGTGAGGCAAGATTCAGAAGTTCACTTTGAAGAGTTTCATGAGTTTTGGGGGCATTTTTTTTAGGAATTCAATTTGTTTGTGTAGCTAAGAGCATTTACTGAGGGTGAAATTCATTGTCTGGCTTCATCCCCGCCAGAGCTGCTGCTGTCGCTATTTTAAAGACTCTTGTTGTTGTATGTGGCACAGATTATTTAACAGCATTTTCAACACTGCTAAAGTGACAAAACATACAAGTGACAGAACGCCTGAAACTAAATGACACACCGCATGTGGCCAAACCTGCACATGTATAGTACATGTAAGGAAGTGTGTGTACATGTGCAAGTCTAACCCACTTTTCATTTACAGTAAAAGCTAAAAGAAACATTATGAAGTTAGGAGTTCAGTGATTATAAACTCCAGCCTTTCATTTTTTATGCATCTGTGTGTGTCTGTCTGTTATTCCATGTGTGTGATCGTGTGTGTGTGTGTGTGTGTGTTTGGCATCTGTAAATCTAAATGATGTGTGTTGGCCAGTGCTAAAGCACTTCAGGATTTTTGTGTGTGTGCTGGAAGCATTAGCTGCTGTGTGTGGGAGTGTGAAATTCATCTCTGCCTGCTGCTGCCAGCGCTCTGGCTGTGCCATCATCATTTGCATTAGCGTTGTTCATCTCCCGCTTTACAATGAGTCATTCTAGCTGATTTCACAGCAGTGATTTACAGTATTATGAAAAAACCGCTGCAAATCGTCTGTAAAGATTAAGATTCTATTACTGTCTATCTCTCTTTTATTGGGTCTGACAAGTGATTCGCTATTGTATCATGACTGAGTGTCTGTGACTGTGTAGTCATTCAGAACTTACCAATGTTTGGAGCAACCAGCGCCACAGGGTTAAGGTAGGTGAGCTTCATGTTCTGGGCCAGATTCTGGGTGTACTGCTCCAGCAGCTCTGCCAGCTCAGCTGGACCACCGCCTGGGATGTGGTTCTGACTCTGAGTGAGAGCCCGCCAAAGCCCAGAGGTACCAGGACCCAGCAGCACACTGCACCCCCGGAGAATGTTCTGGAAGCAGTGGAAAGATGAACGATCAGTAAAAGTAAATAATTCTAAAAAATAAAATAAATACAAGGAGGTAATGGTGATCTGCTTTTCAGCAGGCGCTTCTTGTTGATTTTTTTTGAGGAGTCAGTAACCATATGTGCTGGTGTATTTGAGACAAGGGAAAAGAAAACAGTGAGCTATAAGGCAGAAAATGTAACTGATGGGTAAACATCCTCAATCAGGTAAGAGACAACAGGTAAAACTATATAAAGACTGGAAACAGATTTAGCCAAACATTTAAGTTAAACACTCTCACCAGGGAAAATCAGTTGCAGTGTTTTCTTCTATATAATTTATAATATAAATTTAAAACTCTGACAGTTGCCATTAATGTTTGTCTATTACAGCAGTGGTTCTCATACCAGGACTTTGTGAAACAGAACCTGCTGTTTTGCATGGTTACACCTGCAAGAGCAGTTGAGCACTGCATCTGTACGGCTTGGATGTGAGTACCCAATGGTTAAAATGAGACCTTGATCGGCTACTATCAGTTAATTTCTTTTGTAAATACTATGATTAAGGCAAAGGAGGAGTCAGAGGTGGGAAGAGGGAAGAAAAGGAGAAGTGATGAGATTGAGACTGTTAATAAGGGCTCACCAAAGGTCCAGAGTCTACTTCCAGACATTAACAAAGCTATGAACCAAATCTACAAAAGGAAAGAATGCCAGGGTAGTGAAGAGGGGACAAAAGTGAAGAAGTAAGGCTTCAGACAGACCTTGAGTGTGTTACTGATTCTAGTGGAGGAGAGAAGAAATCTGATGTAGGCCTCATTGTAAAACCTTATTAATGTGTCTTTGGATAAAAGCTTGTTATAGACGGTAAAGACTGCAAATGGCAAAATGTTCTGAACAAACAAAGAGTAATATCAGAGATTGAAAGAGAGAGAGAGAGAGAGAGAGAGAGAGAGAGAGAGAGAGAGAGAGAGAGAGAGAGAGAGAGAGCGCTCAATATGATTCCTTGCAGTCTGACTGCACCAGACCCAATAAAGCACTGCAATATCACATAATGCTCTGGGGAGCAAATGTACACAAGAAAGCCTACAGACACACAAGGGAAAGAATATACAGTGCAGTATAGTGAGAACATAGTGAATTGTAAGAAAGAAGGGAGGAATGAAGAGAGAATCAGAAACAGGGAGTGTGGATAAGTATATGGCAAGGAGGAAAAAATAAAGAGAATGAGAGAGAAGTTTATATTTGGCTCAGAGATGCGGGAAACCGAGAGACAGGTGGACAAGACAGTCGTGATGAGATGGAAAATGTGAGCGTGGAAAGGTGATTGTTGGGAGAAGACAGAGCACAGTACAAGAAGGGTGATTTGGTGGCATCAAAACACACAGACACTTAACAATCCAAGTTTTATTATATAATTTTCTTATCTTTAAAATTGCAATTTTGTTGAATCATGTTCAACAATTTATATCTATTTCTACATATTAGGCATGACATTTTGTGTGCTTTTGATGACTCTGATGATCAAATATGAACAATAATGTCCAGTGTGTCTTCATGATGTGATACAGTATATATACACTATATAGTGAAGAAAGTCAGCTCTAAGTATGACAAAAATACTGATACAGCATGAATAAATATTTTTTTTCAAACATCTACCCCTGCTTCCTGTGTTCTTAAAAAAAAACACATTAAACATGTCCAGTCCAGTTTCCAGTAATGGCTTCCTCTGATCATGTGGGCTTGTTGGGAGAAAATCTGGAACTCAAATACACAACTAAGATTGTAAATTAGCCATCTTTCTCCATGAAAAACGTTAAAGTGGATCTTAGGCTTTCAACCCCATGCAGGCTGTACACTGCAAGAGCTCATATGGCCTGTGTTTATCATTGAAAATACAACAGAGACTAAACAAAAGGAAAGCAATAAGAGTTTTGAAGAGGCAGCAGATGACAAGATTATAGAAAGAGAAGGAGGCACAGGGCACACAAATACTGAATGAGAGGCAGCCTGGATAAACTAATCCTAGTTAAATCAGTTCAACAAACAGATCATATGTGCCACTCCAACAGCAACAAGTCCATACTATATCCAAACTATTTGGAACACATTGTTTCTATCCCATTAGGTTTGTCAATTTAAAAAAAATGTTATTCTCCTCTTCTTCCACCCTTCATTTATGCTGTAGAGATCTCACTATAAGAAACAGTTAGATTATCAACTAAAACACATTTGGCAATTTTTTTTTGATATGTACTTGATGAGACATGAGCCCTATCTGGAGGAACAGTAGTATGTAGATGGTTGTATCACAGCTTGAACATGAAAGGGTTTCATCTTCCTGCATTCATCACTGCATTCCTAATGTGAAAACACTTTCCTTCCTGCCTTCCTTTGTGTCTCCTGCAGCCACAGGGCTCTCTTACCGCTGCTGTGTTACTATAGTAACTATATTCTACATTACCTATTCATCTGGCCTAATAGCTGCTGTTTAAAAACAAGGTGTCAAGCATTATCAGATTTTTTTTTCTATTGTGAGAAATTGGGCCGTCTCCACTTCAGTGCTGCTAAACCAGAGCTGCATCATTAAGAAACAATGAGATGTAGGTAGCACAACTGTTTTAGAGTCAACATGTTGAGGTCACAAGTGAGGCTAGTGGAGGGTTTTTTTCCCCCCAGAAAATGCAAGATAACAATAAAGATTATTACAGAAATATTGTGGAAACATATCTGCTTCATGAGGCTGTAAACCAGCTAACCAAATGATTTCCTGTCAGGTGAAGTAGTTAAGTGAAATGTCAGGTGGAAAAAGGTTTTCATTTCACTCGCTATAGGATGCTGTTAATTCCACTGTTGTGTTGCTATAGCAACTGTCTTTGTTGGCCAAAGATTGTGTATTGATCACATAAAGAACTGCACAGTATTTGGACTGAGGCACCAACTGTGATGTATTTGACAAAAAAATGTTCATGTTCATTTGAGATTGGTTATAAATGGGCTTTCCTTTAACAAAACTTAATTTAACACTGATTATAATGTCATCCTGTGCGTAAACAATCAAATCATACTCCAATGTGTTGGCATCCTTTCTCTTTTGTTCAGTGTCACAACTCGAGCCACAGTGTGTAGCCTATCTTGGAATTTAACCTGTATTTAATCAGATAATGTGAATGCTTTTTATGTTGTTGTTCACCTAAGAGGGAAAAGGACACTCTTCTCCCTTTTACCTATAGAATTTACAGCACAGAAGATATAATGTGACGACTGAGTCTGTTTCAGCACTGCAGGCTGTGGCTACTTATGCTACAGATGTCATCAGCTGGCTAAATCCTCACTGATAGCATCAATTATTAAATTAAATTATTAAATGCTTCCCTGTAACAACTGCAAAAAAATGTGAGAGCAACTGCCCACCATGACCCCTATTAACTCATCAGCTAAAGATAAATGGATTAAAATGTCAGGTAGTACGAGATTATCACTCATAACCACGAAACTACGTAAGTTCTGATAGAAATACTTCTGTTACTACTACTTCTAATAATACTATAATACTGCTTGTACACAATACAAAGCTGTGTACTGTAGCAACAATGTGTGTTTGAATGACAGCGAGAAACGCTGCACTAATTACATTTTAGAAATATTTAATATTAAAATTCTCTTCATGAATTTAAATATTTAAAGTATTGACTGCATCAATTTCATTTAACACAACATGCAATTTGTCAATTAACACAATGCAAGCCAGCAAATTGAACAGTAAAAGGTAAAGGGGGGTTCATTTTATATCCTCAGTTACTTACTTGTGATATATGGACAACTCATTTCCTGTCAGCCAAATCTGATGTATAAGCTAAATAATGAAAATGATATGGAGATGTCTATTAGCACCGTTATATCAAAACACAGACATGCTAAAATGATCCTGTGTCAGCTCCTGCGTCCTCAGCGGAGCAGCCGTATCAGGTAAAATGAGACAGTTTATATGGAGAAATGACATGTTGCAGTATTTCAGGAGCTGCTGTCACTGCATCACCATAGCAACATTCCCTAATCAAAAAAAGACATCTTGTTGTACTATTGACTCACTGGGTCTGTAACCTGTACAGGTACAGTATATGAACATACTTGTCAACCCTCCCGTTTTTCATGGGATTATCCTGTCTTTTACTGTTCGATCCCGTTCATCCGTTTAAATATTTTCCCGTAAATCTCCAGCATTTTTAAACTTTCCATAAACAAAAATAAAACACCGGATATATTTGAAATGAACGCTCCCCTCCAGTAAAGCTGATGGCAGTAAGTGGAACGTTAGCTGTAGAGGAGGTAGAGCAGCACAAGGTGTAAAAATGGAAACGTGAAAACCGAAAAAAGAATTATTTACGATATGTGAGTAAAGACTGTAACATACAGTAATTCTTCTGTATAAATGTTTTTCCCTTATTTCCCTTTTTTTTTCAAATACCAATGTTGACAGGTATGTATATGAAACATATGTACTGTTTTAGCAGCAGCTATTTTATGCCTATTGGCTTAAATATAACTTAAATATTATATAAATCATTAAAATATCCATTTGTGATGATAGAATATCAAACCCATCACATTTATTGTGGTTGGAGATGCTCTCCATAAACTACTACAGTGTTCTAAAATGTTGATCAGCTTGTTGGTTATACTTGTTTTGGGTGACAGTGCCATTGGCATTGTTCAAAACAGAGCTGGCTCACTTGCGGTGATGATTAGATGTTAGATGTTTAGATTTTCACGTGTTAAAATCAATTCACACTTCCCTATCTGGCCTGTCTTTCAAACAACCTTTCACAACTTGCACATTGGCTGTATGCTGAACATCATTTCACCACCAATTATCAAAACACCAATACAACTACAAATTAGGCAATTTCTAACCTCCTTCTCAGACTCTTAGTTTGTTATAGAGTAAATAAAAAAATAATCTCTATCTCAATCTTCTGTGGCAATGAGAATCCTAATGTCTACTCTTCCCAAAGGTGTCTCTTGGATTTGAACAGCAAAGTGAATCAAAACAGCCAATAAACAGCCCTTGTTAATGGCAAATACTATGTGTCCGTATGTTCCACCATTTGCCACTGCAAGAACATCTCAAGCTCTCAAGGCTTTAGCTACACCTGTCCCCTCCCTTCACTGCTCTCATCCTTTCACTGAAATGTATTAAAGAGTAAAAGAGTGTGTTTGGTAAAAACTGAAAAGGTTAACTGAATTATGTGTAGTTTTTTACCTCGTTGAAATGTGCATCCTGAGTAGCAGTGAGTCCAAAGCCGCTCTGTTGGGTCTCGAAGGTCAGGAGGCGGGACAGCAGTCTTTCGGCAATCTGCAAGTCATTGCCGTAGAGTCGGGTGGTTGCCTCAGTGACGTCCCGGAGCTGGTGGGCAAGTTTCTTCTCCAAGATGGTGTTCAACTCGGTTTCATTACGCTCCAGAGAATCAAGCTAAATATACAGACACCAACAAAACACGGAAAAGTAAATCTATCCTTTTTATACATATTTAAGAATTAATGGGATTTAATATTGTAATGATAAAATATACATCAACACTACTGCATGTCTACAAATAAGTATTGCACTGTATTATGGTATTGTACTGTAGTTCATATAAAGTTACTTTTACAAATAAAATATCTGCATGTCAGTATTTTATATCTGCATGCAAACAGCAAAATTTAAATTACGTCTTACAGAACCTTATGGATTTTGTATTTCTAAACAAGCACAAAGTTCCACTATCTATTAAAATAAAAATATCAGAATACTGCAATGGAAGTTTTTAATTTGCAAATTAAGAACCAACAGTTTGGAGGAGGATAAGGTAACAGACGCAAGCGCTCAGAACAAACTGATCTAACTTTTCAGCAAAAAGGGGGTGCTAACCATTTTTTCTACATTCTATCCAATTTTTTTGTTGATGAGTACATCTAAGATTTGGCCAGGATTCTGCACTTTTCATGTCAGGTACAAGTTACGGGACTCATGCAGCATGTGTTCAGATGTGTTTAATGGTGTTGAGTTAATACTTTACATACAGCAGCATTGAGCTCCACAAATGGAGGCGAGGTACAGTTGTAAAGGTCTGGCTCAAGCCATCCTCTCTCTACATCACAGTGTCTGATGGCCGCACCTGTAAAGAGGAGAAACAGGAAGTTTTCAAGTCTTTTGAAAAGGACTTGGCATGTATAAATTAAACTGAAGTTCAACACTGACATTAGGTCATATGTGAGTATGTCCGATATCTATGTGTTTTAATGCACTTGTGTTAGCCTGCATAACTGTGTACAGACCGACAGAGCCTTTGGGGCAAGGCACTGCAGCTGGCAGGTTGAACTTGGTCCGAGGCCACCAGATCCCCTGAGTGATGGTCTTTGGACAACCATCATAAATGACTGCAGAGAAAAAGAACATAATTTAAAATCATCCTCATCAGTTCGATTAGCTTTTCAATTCAAAACAACAAAAAGTCACTAATGATGGGGAAATGTTTTTCTTTGGAGTTGCAGGGAAGACAAAAAAAAGTGTGAGAAATAAAATAACAGCTACAAATTAAAGGACATTTGTAAAAAGAGGGAACTGGAAAGTGACAAAGCTTCACAGAAGAGAAAAACAGAGCTTCTGTATTATTTTAGGTGTAAACACAATTTTGATAAACATGACCATTTTGAAATACAGAATGTAAGAAGAAACTCAAATCCCATGATTACACACTTATTATCCATCTCTGTTTGTCTCAATGGATAATTTACTCATTTTTTTTTCTTACAGTTTTCTGTGCCACTAAAGAAACCAAGAATGTAACAATTTAGTTTTGAACAACACTGACAAAACTAATATTAAATTAATTCAAGGACCTGCAAGATACTGACACATTTTACCCAACAAAATAATGTAGTTGGTGGAAAAAGTCACATTCCACAAATTATTTGTCCCCCAGTCAATAACAAATATGTCATTTTAACACATAATCTCAGTACCTCCTGCTAGGCATGTTGCTGTTATTTTGGAAAGAACACAACGCAGGAGTGAGATGCTTAAGTTTTCCAGAGTCATTTTGAAATACCACACGGAGATCCGTCATTTCCAAAAGTTTGATCAAAATGTCTCAAACGAAATAAACACTCTCACCTTCACAGCCTGAATTTGTGACCTCAGCAAAGGGGTTGTCACATGTGTTGCACTGGCGACCTATCACACCGGGCCTGCACTGGCATTGGCCTGTCTCTGGGTCACATGATCGAGAGAAGGAACCCACTGGGTAGCAGTCACATGGCAGGCAGGTGTCAGAGGCCCGCACATGGTAGTGAAACTCCTATACACACACACACACACACACACACACATAGGGAATGCATAAGTAGTCACACAGATCAAACTCAGTCAAATGAATGTAAAATGTCACGGTCAAGAATAGTGTCAGCGATTACATCACCACATGCATTAGGGCAAGATTTGTACAATGACACAAAAGGGGTCATGAATATAACAGAGACATAATGTGTAAAAAACAGTGATAAAGGAAATCAGTTCATTCTATAGTTTGCTAAACTTCAGAATATATATTTAACACTGCATTTTGGAAAAAAAAATGATAGTGCTACTGTGGAGGTTGATGGTGCAGCATTAGTGTTTCATTCTTTAAAGCCCACCTCCACTCATAAATGTGTTGTCCTTATTATAACCTTACTTGGATGTTTATAATTTGTTTTCAAATCCATGTGCTGAGGGGGAAAGTTTCTCTGTGCTTACCTTGAATCTCAATTTAAGGTGAGCACATAAAAGCATGATTTTGTGACATCACAACCAATTTGGAAACCAATCGTGGTCCAGTATGCAACTTACAATGTCATGTGGAAACTTAAAACCTTCAATGCACATTCACCGAGAATGGACTTTCAGTGTACAACAGTTAAACTGGAAGGACTATATGTAATTTAAAAAGAAAACAAACTAGTTTGTGGAAAAAACAAATTACTGTTCCAAGCATTCGTAGTATGTTAATATGTCTGGAGGGGATGTTTAAGGAAAGCGGTTAATTAAAAAACACAAGAAGATTATCTATGACAAGACTGTGAGCCTTGAGCAACTTTATGTTGGATTTTAGTAATTCACAAATTCATAACTAATCTGCTGTTGCTTTATTGTCCAAAACATGAACAGTGCTCTTTTCTTCCAGTTGTACTGTACAGTAGATCGTTAGTTTTAGGTCTCAGAAATGCAGATGATCAAGTAGAAGTGATGATCAAGGGAGACAAAGGCTGATAGAAAATCCCCATAAAAAGATATTCATCTTTAACAACTTGTTGGGCAATCAATTATCTCAGCCAGGCATAAGCAAAAAGGAGTTGTGGTAACACGCAGAACATTGGTGTGATATTCATATGCCATTTGGTGAATTCAGCGCGAATTGCAATTTTGACCAATCACTGCAACTTTCCCGCAAATTTGACCTATCATCGCCATTACCTGCAAATCATTGTCACAGGTTAGCTTCTCACTTTCTTGTTTACAAGGCGCAGCAGTGATACCAATGTCTCATGTTGCTGACAATAAAAAAGGGCAGTGAAAAACAGGATCCGGATCTTCTTTACCAAAGCGGGGGTAAACTGTTTTGCCAAAGTGCAGTATTGTGGTCTAGCATAAGAGGAGAAACACTGCACGTTCTCTGCTTTACAATAAGTAAATTCAATAACATACTTCTATTAAAATTGCAAAAGATTTCACACACTTTACACATTTGGGCACCTGTGTGTATGTGAGTTTTACTGTACATGCATGACAAAACTTCTGCTCTACACAGAAAATGCAAAAACCACAAGTGTTTTTCATTTTTACTATCGGTGCATAGTTGCTGCTTCGTCTGCTTACTCAAAGACATTTGTGTACTGTATTGATATAAAAGAGTTTGAAGATCTTTGCAAGAATTCTTTGCTTTTGCAAGAGTTGTATAATGTTCAGTTTTTTGGTGTAAGGTTTTGTGCTTAGTGTGGAGGGTTTTGCAAAAATAGCCTATAGTTTCAAAAATTGTGCCTAAACAATCAGAAAAAACTATAAGATGTACACTGTAATACCCTTGACCTGAATGGTATGTATTTATATATGTATGTATGTAGGCTAAAAGAAAGCATTCTTACATTGTGCGCATGGCAAGCAGAAAAAAACATGCGCACATCAGAGATTAAAGATTAAGGTCAAAAGATCAGATTAAGCACAGAATACAACATTAAACAAGCTGGCTACACACAAACATATCAATCCATACTCACACATTCATGCAACACAGAAATGTCAATATGTAGGGATAATGATCGTATGATTGGTGTAGTGTGTTTGTTTGAGCCTGTCAGACCATCAGACTGTGAGAAGATTACTGTGTGTCTGGGTTAAACCAAAGCCAAAGTGATCTATAGAGTTACACCACTAAAGCTCTTCTAATCCTAACAGTATTAGTATTCAATGTGATGTAAAAAAAAAAAAATAGTCTTTATACTTTATACCATCAATAGAGCTTATTGTATCAATACAGTACACACAAACAGCAAGCATCAAACACCTAAGCTTTTTTTGTGTTTAGGGCAGAGCAGTTTGTAATAAAGTTTTGTCATGCATGTAGTTCAGTAAAACACACATACACACAGGTGTCCAAATGTGCACAGTTTAGATGTGTATTCTGAACACAACACACTATCAATACAAATAAGGGGAAAAGGGTTTTATTTTTCTCAACATGTTGGTAAATGCATTGGGTTCAAGTGTTAATTCAGAAATAGTGCTTCAAGAAGCCATGTGTTTAAGCAAGCAGAAAAAACTGTAATAATCAGATGCTGTTTCTGTCAGATTTGATCACATCTTCAGTATTGATGCACTGACCTTTACACCTTAGCTATAAGTAAAAACATGCCAAAATATATTTTTATCCACTTTGCAAGGTAATATACAAATTAGCACAAAACACCTTCCTGAAAGTTGCAGTGTGTGTGTGAGTTTAGTGGTTACCTTGCAGTGACAGTGTCCACTGGTCTTGTTACAGTTGGGGTCGAAGCCTTTATTGGTGTCACAGTGACATGGTCCACAGGTCGGAGATCCCCACCAACCCCTGGGACATTGGTGATCAATTCTACACACACACACACACACACACCAACAGGTAGTATCAGTAACACAAGTTGCTTGAATCAGTTTGGAGACAGAAAGCAACACAGCGTGTCAAAAGTATTTTATTAGTTCTTCAAAGCAACCATCTGTCCCTGTGATTTCCAACTAATGACAAACTAATCTGTGAGAACAAAGAGATGAAAGCAAAAGAGAGAGTGTGTGGGATTTAGATTGCTTTCTAAAAGTGCAGAATTTCTGCTCCAGGGAAATATACCTCAGATTTTATCACTCTGGTTTACTGTACATGACACTTACCTCCTTTGTTCTCTTTGCTCACATTTAACTAACTGTGCTCTCCTTCTGTTCTGAGATGAACACTTCTCATAATTAATGCAGATATGCGTGTGTATCTCTTTAGTGCTCCTTACGGACAGTTTAGCAGAGTAAATTCAGATATCAGTGATCTTAATAGAATATTAGGATTGACCCTATTTCTCCAGAGATTTTATTATTGCATCTCCCTCTGCTTTTTCATACTTTGCTTTTAAAAGATTGACTATCACTATTATCTTCCTGGTGAATTATGTGAGTTAGTAGGAAGTTAATTAGTCAAAGTTTTAGATTATTCATTTGAGAAGAAAGAGGGCAAACTACAGCAGCAATGAGAAGGAGGGAAAATTAAGAGGGAGAGCAGCTGAAAATGTGTGTCATTGCTGTGTCAATTTCACGGGCAGGAAGGAAGGAAGAGGTAACATCAGGGTCACGCTCTCTTCACACCCCTTGTTGTTGTGTGTATATGCATTCCGTTCCACAGTGGACTAGATGCAAGGCTGGAGATGTGGGACAACAAGGCAGAGCTAAAGCTACCAAGACACACACAAGCACACTTGAATAGAGCTTACCTGGGTTACAGGCAGCATCCCAGAGCTTTTGACTGTCTTGGCATCTCACAAGTAACACAACACAAACTGTAGTTTAAATTTAAAATTTGTGTCTGTCTGGCTGTCTGTCTGTCTGTCTACCTGTGTTGGCAGTACTGCCCATAGTGGTTGTCTCCACAGTCACAGATGTATCCATGTGAAGAGCTGGGCTTCCTGTGGCACTGAGCCTCGTTTTCACACGGATTCAGATGGCAAGCATCAGTGCAGCCTCTCCCATAGTAGCCTGGGAGGTGTGGGGAGAGAGAGAGAAAGAGAGAGAGAGTGATGGTAAAGAATCAATATCACAAGGTATTTGTGCAGTTGTTGACATTTCAACAAAAACGCAATTCAAAGTGATTTATACAAAACACTGAAGTATTATAGGGAAATTAAAAGGGTAAAAAAGGGTAAAATAGAAAATAAAAACAGAATAAAATAGGACAGTAAAAATTCCAATGCAGTGTTATCTGTAATCTACAGCCTTGATTTAATTAAAGGCAGGTTTGTTCCAGATATATGTAAGGCGTGAGGCAGTAACAACTGGCCCCAGTGCAGACTGTTATGGCCACTGGGCTCCCCATTATGAAGGACACGCGTACACACACACACACACACACACACACACACACACACACACACACACACACACACATACAGTGTGCTCATGTCTAGAAGGTAAGGTGTCAAGAAGTTAACCTTATATCTTAAATTTGTGTGCGTTGTTTCCTCATTGTGCACGTTTTTTTCAACTGATAAGATTAGATGCAGTAAATACCAAATCTCCTTAAATTAATTTATTTCCACATTTGCATTTAACAGTTCTCTTTATGTGCTTCTCTCAAATGCCGACACACACTACTTCTGCAGCTGTATTGTGTGCGCCTGGACGCAGTAAAGTATCATCATGTGATGGATTTTAGAGTCGGAATGTGTCACCTAGACAATAAGAAAGTTATAGACAGTCATAAGGAGCATTACCAGAGCTGTCATTGTCAAAATCCTTAAAAGTCACTATAAACAGCTGAGTGCAGGGGAGGTTTCCACAGTGCTAAAATGATGCGATCTTTTTCGGGGATTATAAGTACAATAACCTCCCGAATCACGGCAACCACATTCTTCTTCAACAGAGACACAAGAGATTATGGTGAATAGGAGAGAAAAGCTGGCTACTTAAAAACACCACCATTTCCTGAAAGCAGGCCAGCTAAGGCGCACACACAGTTTAATACCCACAAACACATCCACACAAACAAGTGCCTTTTAAACAGGGGCAAAGCAGCCACACCAAATCCCTTGAAAAAGCATTTTTAACGTTTACTCACCTATTTGAATGTCGTCCAACGAGCCTAGCATTGAGCAAAATCTTCAACATTTTCCTTCTAAATCTAAAAAAATCTTATTCGGGAGCTTTGTGACCCTCTCCTCCTGTTCTTTTGTCCCCTGTCTCTTCTTGAAACAACTTTCATGTTTGAATGGCATGACTTCTTGCATGTGCTCTGCTACTCTACTTGGCAGATTTTGTGTTTCACCCGCTTTCAACTATAGGTAAAGTCTTGTCGTCTTGCCACATGATCAAATAGAAACTTAAAACTAGTAAACCGTACACATATTACCCAGCAACCATCATCGCATATGTAGCTAATGTGACACGAGAAGAAGAAAATCAGACAATATTCATTCTGTGGAATCTGTGGAATTGAACTGATTATTTGGTTGTTTGGTTGTTTTTTTACTGCTTGCTACAGACTTTTGTGAGTACAACTACTGACTGACACCATGGCAAAGGGGGATATGCACATTTGAGGGTATATATACCACTTGATCTACATATGTGTTCAATGGTAGGAGGAGCACCAGGAATTTAATGCTGCATAATGACTTGATGATGTGATGGTAGGCCGACTTTGTAATTGTCTTAATGTGGCTACCTCAAGATTTATGGCTTGGTTGTGGTTTTTAACATTACCAATTTAAGCTGAGCACTGACTTTTAATCATTCTTCCTTAGCACTAAAAACAATGACTTCAGTTTTATCTTTGTTTAACTGAAGGAAATTCTGGCACGTCCAATTGTTGATCTGTTCAATACAGTTACTCAGCACTTATATGGGATCATAGTCCCCTGGTGATATGGTTATGTAAATCTGTGTGTCATCTGCATAATTATGGTAACATATTTTGTTGTTTTTCATAATCTAAGCCAATGGAAGCATGCAGATGTTAAACAGCAGAGGCTCCAGAATGGAGCCTTGGGGAACTCCACAAGTCATTTTTATTAGGTCAGATGTGTAAATACCTATGAGCCCACCAACAGCCCTGTAGGATGTTCTGTTCTCAAGCTGTGGGCCTGTAAAGCATGGGAGTGATTTTGGTCATTTATATTGACTGTTTTTATCAATATTTCAATGTTTTGGAAGCTTTATGTTATTTGGAACCTTAACAAGAGCCGTCTCAGTGCTGTGGTGTGGCTGAAATCCAAGAAAGCACTAAGCTGTAGAAAATATTTTACAATGATTTTAAATAAAAATGGGAGATTTTATATGCACCTATGATTGCTTATTAGTGTCGTGTATATGTTGTTCTTTTTTTTTTAAAAGAGTGACTTGATGAATAAAACTTTCAATAAATGTTTTTTAAAGTGTGTAAAGAAATCCAAAATGGTCTCGCAATCACCGTGCACAAAAACACACATGACTCGACTATCAGTCTACTATAAGCAGGACTTTATGATTCTGATTCAACTATGTAAATCCTTAGTCGGGGACAGCCCTAGTTAATAGAATCGAATTGTGTCATGCTATTTGAATTGATTTCAAATGGACACAGAGGCAACACATATCCTGTACCTGCCGGGGAGGCACTGATTGCATGTCTGATTTTTTTAATTTTATCTCTGAATAACGAGGCAAATTCATTGCAGGCCCTGGTGGATAGAAATGGTGGTCGACAGTAGCAAACAAGGCACGTAGATTATTATTGTTTTTGGTGATGTCAGAGAGGATTGACCACGTTGCATTTCTTAATTATAAATTATAAATGCGAAGTCTCTCTTTATAAATGTCATATTGAACCTGGAGATTTGTTTTCCGCCACCTGCGTTTAGCTTTTTGACGCTCTCTTTTTGAGTTCTTACCAGCATGGCATTTCTCCATGGACCTTGACTGGTGCAATGACATCAATAACATTTGCAATTTTAGAATTTAAATTATCTACAAGCTCATTGACTGAGACCCATGAGAGGGCGGGTGTGGAAGAGAAAGCTTGAATAAATATTTCACTGGTATTTTCAGTGATGTGCTGTTTTGTGATTACCATTCATGTGCACAGAGATAGAAAGAAAAGAAAACACTTCAGAACTTTTTTAATATTTAACTAAAACCACAATCTCTCCATATATTTAGCAGTGCTTTGAATTGACTAAACAGAAAACAGAGCTACTGTATAAAACATGTTTAAATGCCTGGGACAAATACTGCAAAAAAGACAAACAGAAAAGTTCAAAATGAAACACTTCCTAGTTACGTTGGAGAAGAAAAAACAGGAGTATGCAGTATGCTTCTTGTAAAAAAAAAAACATTTTTCCGAACAGAAAGCTTTAGTGAGAAGTTTTGTTAACTTTTTTTAATTGTCAAAAACAGAGAATAAAAGAATAATCTGTTTTTGTGATTTAAGTTGTTCCATTTAAAAGAAAACAGTCTGAAGAATCCAGCTGTCAAGAACCAGGAACAGTCATGTTTACAGAATAACTAAAAATGAGTTTCTTTTAAAAGGCCCTGACGACCTATTTTCTAAATCAGCTTACTCTGTTATGAGCTCTGGAGTCCACCATGAACATGCAATTCTCTGCCAAAGACTGTTTTTCTACATTCTACATTTCTACATTTCTGGGTTTTGTCTGTTTTTCTGACTCACTTGGAAAAAGGTAACGTCATAAACTGCATGCACCAGTCAGAGTTGAGCAACATTTGAAGTAAAATGTGATGACAGCTGCTTATGTCGCCTGGTCACCGTCGAACTAACCGGATTAAACCACACCAACACAGTCCTGATGAAGCAGATTAGCTGAATTTCTGAAAACTTAAGTCTTAATAAATTATAGTAAATAAACATTTTTTTCCAAACCTCAAAATAGTTTCAAGAGACTTCACAGTAAGTAAACTTGAGTTAATTATACTTCTTCTTGACCTAAATATCAGATAAGTGTATCTGTTTGATATCCCAGTCTTTTACCATTGGAAATAATGCAAAAAAATAATTAGACAGAAGATGTGACAACATATGAGGAAACATGCACTCACAATGATTAACTTCCCTTGCATGTACAATCAGGAAACAAAAGCACAACAGTGAACCATTGAAATCTAAATATGCAGCCACTCTATTAGGCTTAGGAAGTATCTATTTTGCATACCTTAATACATTCCTGACATTTCACCGGGGTATATGGTGTATGTTTGTGTAAAAAAAAACACAAAAACACCTGAGCTGGTGGTGAGAAAAGTAATTGGAGCATGTATACTATTATCTTGCCTACAGTGCTGTGTATCTAATCTAATGCAATTAGCCAACAAATCTTTCTGGGTTTAAATACTTCTGGCCCATAGAATACTGAATACAGTAGACAAGAAATGAACACCCTTATTCCATAGATTATTGCTGTAGGACCCGATGACACTTGTTGGCACAGCGAATACCACCACAGCAGTGGGCTGAACTTAGATGATGTGCGGCTGGTTGGCAGCTGCTGGGCAGTTAAATAGAATCATGTGGCTAATAAACTGTTTTCTTAAGGTAAATATTGCACACAGCTTTATCATCAGGACTAAACCCAAAATACTCCCAAATGGGTGGCAGAGGCATTTTTCTTTACATCTATCACTCTTTACTTCTATCAGAGGGATCACTTGATAAATTGGATGCCTGTGTAGCTACTGTGGATCAGCCACCAGACGACGATAAAGACCGTCTGTTCCAAAGCAATACTTTTCTTCTGCTGCAGTTTCCGCCAAAAACAAAACTGAAGAGTTCAGAGGGATTGCACAATATCCAAGATGGGCTACTTTTATACACAAAACAGCAGTTTTTGAACTGAAAACAGTGAAAACGGCAAAAGTAAGTCAGTGGTTGTAATTGTATGTGTAGTTATTGTTATCCAGTTATAAGTCTGTGAGTTTGTTGATTTGATTGATATGAGTTACACGGCTGATCAGAGCTGGAGCTAGGTATGTGAGCAAAATTTTCAACA